AAACCTATTCGGCTGCATGGCGTGACTTGTTTAGCCTCTGTGAAATCAAAGCAGGAGATGCTTACTGGCCCATTATGGAGAAAAGCTTTTCTAGTGCCCGACTCTCTAGTGAGTCTGATTTCTCCTCAGGTGTTGAATTCTGTGAACAGCTCCGGCTGTGGGCACAAGATAAATTAGCTAATCAGGCTACCTGTCATTCAAGATAAGACAGAATCTGTGGAAAAGTATCACTCCAGGTTGTCCCAAATCTTCTCTGACCTGGGTTTCAGTTTGTACAACAAGGCCCACACCCAAATGCTGTCTGCGGGCTTCATAGCGGGCCTTAAAGAATTAATTTGCAAAGGCCTAATTCTGTCCTGCCCTGAATACAGAATAATCCCTCTGGATACCCTCCTCTTAGTTGCTAAGGGCCTGGAGATCTTCCAACTACCCCCACCAAGAAAACCAGCCCCCTTATGTTCTCTCACCCTGCACATCTACCCCCACCCACTCCTGGGTATGTACCCCTGCCTCCAGGCCTACCCATGAATCTCTGTGCCGGTAATTACTGAAACATCCGGTAGGGAAGTGCCGGCTTCTTAATGTTGGAGCTGAGTCTGTATGGAAGTGTGTCTCCTGGGTGAAAAGTATCTCAGCTTTAAGACGGTGAAAGTCCATGAGGGCTATGTTTCTTTTCTCTAGTGTTAAATGAAACAGTCCGGAACGTGGCCATGGTATGTGTCACCCATGTGGTCTAGAAGGCGGATATTTGAACGCTGAGCTCCTTTAGTTGTGGACAAGTGTACCTTTGCTATATGCGTCTATGGTACTAATGTGCAAATTAAAAAGTGTAAGTAGTAGATTAATAATTGTGTAAAGAACTAAAATAACTAAGAACAAAATAACAGTAAGGATGACCTCCTTGTGAGTTGGTTCTGGTAGTATCACGTAGTTTCAGCTGGTGAGTACTGAACAGTTGATTTGGTCAGTCTGGGCCCTCAAGGTGGAACTATCCTGCCATTAGGTGCCCGGTGTCTTATGTCACCTGAGAAGGTAAAGGGAGAATCAGACCCCCTGGTCCGTGACTGGAAGACCCTGGGTGGAGGTGCCCTGAGGGGATGTCAAGTGCAACAGGGTATTAGCTCTCATGATAGTATGAATCTGTACACCACCAGAGAAGCTTGAACTTGACACTGGTAAGTATTCTATCCTGACGTCAGAGATAGAATAATATTTCGGGTAAGTGCAGGTCCAGATGCGTAGTTTGCCGATGGTAAGGAGAAAACAGCAAGAACACTATAACTTGAGCAGAGGTATCTGCTTTATGGTCAGAATGGGGTGCCTTCAATGTAGGACACCCTGAGGAAGATCGTCGGTCCCCAAAGCGGTTGTAGGAGTAAGCACTTTACTGGCTTCGACCTTGTGGTAGCAGGGATTAGTGTTTTTTTTTTTTTTTTATTAAAATTTAAACATTGAAAAATAATATTAGTAGAAACGATTGTATCTGTTGGATCACCCATTCAAAAACTGGCATGCAGTTGCTCATCTCATCCCATATAGCAAAGACATAGCATAACATTCAGAGATTGGCCCCTCAGCTGTGCTGCAAACAGTTCTACATATTGCATTAGTGAAATAAGTCTGTATTGTGTTCCCTATTAAGAGTTAATAAGTATATATGGGTGTGTATATAAAAAAATACCCCTCTCTGTCTCATTAGAGATATCTTTGCCAGAAGCTCAAGGAAGCAAGGTGAAAGGTCAGTGTAGGACCCACCTGAGGGGGTCTGCCTTGACGTTGGCAGGCAGGCATTCTCTCAAATGGCCATTGGAGTAACTAAATGACTCAATTTGTTTAAATATACATAGGGATTTAGGAGAGAATGCAGGTAACTTTTTCTTTGGTTTTTACTATTTGTATTCGGGCTGATGTGTACTGTGGTCGTTGCTGCCACCTAGGAGTGATGGGAGTGAGCGCAGGACTTTCTTTTTTGTATCCATATGCAATAATGCTGTTATCGGTTAGAAAGAACGGTGAGCTCTATGAAACAGGCTTTATAAGGGAATAACCCTTGGTAGTAATTGATTTATTAAATTCGGAAATTGCCCACGTGTGTGTGTGTGTGTGTATATATGTATGTGTGTGTATATATATATATATATATATATATATATATATATGATTAAAACATATCATCTATAAATATCACACAATGGAAAAAAAGGTACTATCGTTAAAAAAAATAATAATAATAAAAATATATATATGAATTTGATAGACCCTATAGAAAAGAAAAAGAGAGAAGAGAATATATGTTTTAGCGTTCTTCTGGTTAGCTCCAGTTCCCTTTGTAACGGGTGGCGGTACTGAAACCGGGACCCCAGAGTGCCTGATGAGAAGTTGGGAGTCTTCAGCGTGGAAGTGGATTAGCAGGGTCTGGTTCAGAGTAACCGCACGCCCCCTGGTGTTGAGCACCAGCGTTTGTGTGGCCACATACCAGGACCCTGATGCAGCTTCAGCGGATTCCAGGAACTAGGAGCTTGGAAATAAGCAGACCTCCCAGGAGCTGAATGGGAAGGCTCTGCAGCAGGAATGTATCCAGTACAGAAACTAGGCAAGACTAGAACAAACACCAAACATGAAAACAAGACAGAACTAGTAGAACCCAGAACCAGAGAAGGATAGGAAGCTAAACCCATAACATGTACACAATACATAAGGGAAACATTAACATAACATGGGCAGAACAAGACAGGACTGTACATGGACTGGGAATACAAAATAAAAAAAGATAAGATACGATAGGTAAAACAAGAGGAGACAAAACGAAGTACTATATATGAAAACTATGAGGATTTATTTACATTATATGATCATACATTGCATAAGCCTGCCACAACGTCAATTTACCCCATATTTGGCATGTCCTACTTTGCCTAATGTTCGCTAATAGAAGCATAATAAAAGACATATAGCACTTACCCGCAAGAAAGGGCAGAGGACTTGAAACCACTGCTGCAGGTCCAGACGGAAACAAAAGGAATCATGGAAAAGGAATGGGTGTGGCAACATAAAACAAACATTTAAACAAATCCTGGAGACTGGGAATTCTAGGGCCGAAATACAGGAATGAACCCAGAAAACCCAGCAAAAAGAAAGCCAGACATGGAATAGAAAACCAGAAAAACTAAACAAGAATTGCAAAAAGAGTACTGGATACCAGAAGCCAAGGCCAGACATCTCCACAGAACATGATAGGATGTGACATAACTCCCCTCTTAAGGAGCGACCTTTGGGCGCGACAAGTAGCTCTTAGGCAGAGACCAGGAAAGAAGCGAGGATCCAGCAACTAAGTCCTCAAGACTTACTGGAGGCAAGGATTCCCCGACACAGCAGGAGAGTAGTTTGCGGCTCACAATGCCATTCCGAACTACTTTAATTCCTTTGGAAAAGTCTCCTGCAAAGGAATCACCAGCCAGGACCGAGATCCACTCCAGAATAGGAGCACTGCCACGAAAGAGGAACCAGAACAAGGAACCAGGAACTAAGTATCAAAAGAGAACACCTGAAGCGACTACCGTACCACTTAGCAGATCGACCTCCTCCGCGACAAAAATAAGGAAGCCATCTCCAGCAGACTGGTCCAGATACAGGATCTCTAGCATGCAGAAGAACCAGGCAGGACACGACACAGACAAAACAGGTCAGGAAAGCTGCAAAGTCCACTCCACGAACTCCAAGTGCCTACGGCCATCTGTCAGGGTGGCAGTATGGAAACTGGGACCCCAGAGTGCCTGATGAGAAGTTGGGAGTCTTCAGCGTGGAAGTAGATTAGCAGGGTCTGGTTCAGGGTAACCGCACGCAACCTGGTGTTGAGCACCAGCGTTTGTGCGGCCACATACCAGGACTCCCCATCCAACTATCGTCCTATCTCGCTACTGCCTTTTGCATCCAAGATCCTTGAAAAAATTGTGTATGCGAGATTGACAGACGTCCTCGAGTCCAACTCTTTGCTAGACCTGCTTCAGTCTGGTTTCCGCGCTAAGCACTCTGTGGAAACGGCACTGACCAAAGTATCCAATGATCTACTTGCTGCAAAATCTCGTGGTCACTACTCTATCCTAATTCTCCTTGACCTGTCTGCGGCTTTTGACACTGTTGATCATCAACAGCTTCTTCTCATCCTCCGCAATATCGGTCTACAAGATATTGTTCTCTCCTGGTGCTCCTCCTACCTCTCCCAGTGCTCTCTCAGTGTTTCTTTCTCTGGCTCTGCTTCTTCTCCCCAACTCCTCTCTGTTGGTGTCCCACAAGGTTCAGTCGTTGATCCCCTACTGTTCTCCATCTATACTGCCTCCCTTGGTAAACTCATTAGCTCCTTTGGCTTCCAATATCATTTCTGCTCGCAAATCTACCTGTCCTCTCCTGATCTCTCCCCGTCCCTCTTGACTAGTGTCTCTGACTGCCTCTCTGCTGTTTCTAACTGGATGGCTGCCCACTTCCTTAAACTAAACTTGACCAAAACTGAAATTCTAGTCTTTCCTCCCTCAAGAGTTGTAACTCCTGTGTCTGTCTCCCTCCAAGTCAACGGTGCTACCATCAGCTCCACCACGCAGGCTCGCTGCCTAGGTGTTCTCTTTGACTCCGACCTCTCCTTCAAGCCTCATGTTCAATATTTCACCAAATCCGGTCATTTCCATCTCAAAAACTTTGCTTGCATCCGCCCCTACTTAACGCCAGATGCGACTAAGGTGTTGGTCCATAAGCCTTCTACGTAATCCACTTCTCGAGGCTGGTCCACCCCATCCCGCCTCACCCTTCTGTCGGTCCCTACACTGGCTTCCTATAAACCAGAGCAATTCTGCTTCTTGCTTTCCACATTTCTACCTGTCTGCTCCCACCTATCTATCCTCCCATATACACAAGTATGTCCCCTCTAGGCCTTACGATCACCACAGAGACTCCCAAATCTATCATCAGTACTCCACCTCTATTCAAGATTTCTAGGGGCTGCACGGATTTCTTTGTCTTTACTTCCCTCATAGTTCGTCTCTTAGTCTCCACTCCTTCAAAAATGCGTTAAAAACCACTACTTCCATAAGTGTATCGAGAATTAAACTGTTAGCTCCTGACTGATTCCTCTTCTGCAACTGTCACTAGTCTAATACTATCCTTACCTTTTTGTGTCATTTTACCCCACTCCCTCTTGCATGTAAGCTCATTGAGCAGGGCCCTCAACCTCTCAGAATTTGATGGCGCCCTATAAATATTATAATAATAATAACATGAACAGAACATAGAAACATAGAATGTGACGGCAGATAAGAACCATTCAGCCCATCTAGACTGCCCGATTTTCTAAATACTTTCATTAGTCCCTGGCCTTATCTTATAGTTAGGATAGTCTTATGCCTATCCCACGCATGCTTAAACTTCTTTACTGTGTTAACCTCTACCACTTTAGCTGGAAGGCTATTACATACATCCACTACCCTCCCAGTAAAGTAATACTTCCTGATATTATTTTTAAACCTTTGCCCCTCTAATTTAAAACTATGTCCTCTTGTTGTGGTAGTTTTTCTTCTTTTAAATATGGTCTCCTCCTTTATCTACAAGACAGGACTGTACATGGACTGGGAATACAAAATAAAACAAGACAAGATATGATAGGCAAAACAAGAGGAGACAAAACTAAGTACTATATATGAAAACTATGGGGATTTAGTTACATTATATGATCATACATTGCATAAGCCTGCCACAACGCCAATGTACCCCATATTTGGCAGGTCCTACTCTGCCTAATGTTCGCTAAAAGAACCATAATAAAACACATATAGCAGGAAGTTGCTACTTACACTAGAATATCAAAAGGAAAAACATATATAGAATAGTCCATGAAATGTTTTACCTGAGTTATATGGAGCTTATCTAGGTTTGGTTGATAATTATAGCAGAGGTTCTCAACTGTGCCTTCATGGGCACCTAAGATTTGCAGGTACTGTCTATACAGTCTATATGTCTAGCTGTCATATAAGATAGTAAATACCTATGCTATGCCTTCAAGTGCCGTCAAAGAAGAGTTTTGAAATAATCTAAAGTCTTTAGGATGCCAACATAAGTTATCTTCTGAGCCGAGCCCTGACGCGTGTTTTGCTAGGCAGGCTCTTCAGAGGGAATAAATGAGAATGGACTTGTAAGTTATTTTTATATCGGGTTAGAAGGTTCCGCTTGGTTATCCCCTTCTGACCAATTAGTGGGTTTAGAAACATAGAAACATAGAATGTGACGGCAGATAAGAACTATTCGGCCCATGTAATCTGCCCGATTTTCTCAATACTTTCATTAGTCCCTGGCCTTACCTTATAGTTAGGTTAGCCTTATGCATATCCCATCCATGCTTAAACTCCTTTACTGTGTTAACCTCTACCACTTCAACTGGAATGCTATTCCATGCATCCACTACCCTCTCAGTAAAGTAATACTTCCTGATATTATTTTTAAACCTTTGCCCCTCTAATTTAAGACTATGTCCTCTTGTTGTGGTAGTTTTTCTTCTTTTAAATATGGTCTCCTCCTTTAGTGTGTTGATTCCCTTTATGTATTTAAATGTTTCTATCATATCCCCCCTGTCTCGTCTTTCCTCCAAGCTATACATGTTAAGATCCTTTAACCTTTCCTGGTAAGTTTTATCCCGCAATCCATGAACCAGTTTGGTAGCCCTTCTCTGAACCCTCTCTAAGGTATCAATATCCTTCTGAAGATACGGTCTCCAGTACTGTGTACAATACTCCAAGTGAGGGCTCACCAGTGTTCTGTACAATGGCATGAACACTTCCCTCTTTCTACTGCTAATACCTCTCCCTATACAACCAAACATTCTGCTAGCATTTCCTGCTGCTCTATTACATTGTCTGCCTACCTTTAAGTCATCAGAAATAATCACCCCTAAATCCCTTTACTCAGATGTTGAGGTTAGGACTCTATCAAATATTCATTTAGGAATGACTGACCGTTCCTTTCTAAAATTTCTCTGAACAATTTCTAACCAGCTGTCTGGTATTTTTAGAGGGATCATTTTAAAAAATATATGTCTACTTGGGGAGAATATAAGCATTGATGATATTAATTCTACCCAACCAGTTTAGAAATGTATTATTCCACTTTTTTAATTAGGTTTGTTGATCTAATCAGTTTCAAGACATTCTCTTCAACAATTATATTTGTTTTGTCAGAAAGTGTAACACTCAAATACTCAAAACTCCCATTAGCTTCTCTAAAGCTATGCATTTCTAATATTTGGTATTTTTTTTGTATCAGCATCACAATTTATGAACATAACCACCGATTTTTTTTTTTTTTTATCTATATTTATCTTGTAATTAGATATCTCACTATACTGGGCAATCTCATTAATTAAATGTGGGATGGAAGCAATGGGGTCAGTCAAGGTTATTATCGTGTCATCTGCATACATGCACATCTTAAGATCTTTTGAGGCTACTGGAATCTTCACTTTTTCTTCACTCTACTTGCTTGAATAGCTTGTTGTTTCATTTTTTAAAAGAATAAAAGACAACTACCAGATCTTTCAGACTTATTTCTGGAATATCTGGCAGTTTTCTCACACGATATGCTTTTTCTATCACAAGTTTTTTGTTTTGGATGTTGATGTCTAAGGCTAAAAGAAATTTGAGCACAAATTATTTTGTATTTTCATAAGTAATGGATTCAGGGATATTTTTCAGTCTGATGTTCTTTATTTTTTGCCTATCTTCCAATAAATGTATTCTTTGCTCCAAGGTGTTTTAATAATTTTTCATTCTTTCTTGCACCTCAGTGACCGTCTTGTATTTCATATTTTTCTTCCATCTTCGTTATTTTTGCACCAATTTCTTCTATTTATAGTTTTAGTTGACATGTGCTATTATTAATTTATTTCAGTTTGATTTTGATAAATTCTTGCAAATTATATGTTGAATTTCTCCTATCCTCCATTAAAGATCCTTCTGATAGCGAATTATCTCCACCTTGCTTGTTTTGGGGAGAGAAAAAAGCTGATACTCCTTTGACTTGTTTGGTGTCTTTAAGATCTTTTTTTCTTCGAATCTTTTCAGTAGCCATTTTATTTCAATACTTTGTTTAGCGACTCTTTTTTTTTGTTTTAAATCTTGAGATTCTGTTTCTTTGCCCTTTTTATCGTTCTTTATATTTTATCTTTCCTCTTCCTTCTTTCTTTTCTCTTCCCACCTTCAGCTTCTGGGCACTTCTTTGTACTAGTATGTGCTATTGGATGATATTGTAGCATATAACAAAAATGGGGATGTTTGTAGAGTCTTTTTCCGAGTAGTTAATTTTAGGCTGTCATATATTTCCCTTTAGGGATCATATCAAATTAACTTAATCTTTATTTCTCCCTCCTCTCCTCACCACACAGAGCAGATTAGGGGATATTGTGTGTGTGTTCCACCTGCACTGTGAATGTTTACATGGTGTGTTCAATAAAAACATGGCAACATTTCATTCTTTGTGTGTTATTAGTTTAAGCAGACTGTGATTGTCTATTGTTGTGACTTAGATGATGATCAGATCACATTTTATGACCAATTTGTGCAGAAATCCATATCATTTCAAAGGGTTCACATACCTTTTCTTGCAACTGTATATATGTCAGTATATACCAGTTAAATGCAAGTTATCTGCTGTTATTTTATTTTCTCAGATTTTCCAGTTTTAAACACTTGTAAGCTACTTGCTTTTAGCTTGGATTTTCTGGGCCTTTTTTTCAACTGTCAGCAAGCTGCCTTTATTTTGTTTGGCCAGATCTCCTAAGTGTCTTGCATAATCCAATCAAGACTACCAGTCACTGGTTGCCCTGCAAAGCGCTTCTAGTTGTCGGCTCTAATCTCCTGCCGTGATCCCCTTAACACGCCGCTGCCTTGTGGTGTATTCTACCGCCGGTCCATTCACCCCCTAAACCCTGCCTCCTGTTACGTGGTTATGGTCCTGTATTCACGTCATCATGTCCACTCCAGCCACCCGAATAAATATTGGTCCCGTAACACTTTTATAATTCTGTCCTTTACTGTGAAATAATGTAAATGACAGATAATGTCTCTTGGTGCTTCTGTAGCGGTACCTTTTGGTCTAAGTGATCTATATGCCCTGTCAAATTTAATGGGTGTCTAGCTGGGGTCACCCAATAGCAAGTTGAACATTTTCAACAGTGATGCACTTAAATCTTCATCTTGTGATTCTGAGAGGCCGCATATCCTCAAATTCTTGCGTCGCCATCTATTGTCAAGGTCATCCATGCATCGTTGGAGAACGGTAAGTAACTGCGATTGCTTTTCCAAGGATTTGGTTAATTGCAATATCTGTGAGTTGGTCACGTTTCTCTCCTCTTCCAACTCAGTGACCCTGTGTCTCATTTGGTGGATGTCGGTGCCTAGTGCATCTAATTTAGTTTGGAACAAGGTTTCCAGCTTACCCAGCATAGTAGCCAGGTCTGCCTTAGAAGGTAGTAGTTTCTCCATGGGTATACCTGCTAAATAGGTCTCTCGATGGTTGGACCAGGAGGGAACAAAAATTGGTGCATAAGATAACCCTAAGCGCGCGCCGTGCCATAGCGATTGCGTGGCTCTCTCCGTAAGGCCCGGAATTCTCCGGAGTGATAACTAGGATTAGAGAATGTAGAATAATGGATGACTTAACTGCTAGAGTGCGGGGGACAATGGCGTCGTTTCAAAAGATTTGGGAGCCATGGGACAGTAGTCTACTGGGCTCGGGCAGTGCTTGACAGCACCTTGTCCTGTTGTAGAGGGTACTCCCTTGGCCTGGGCCACCTGTGCCGCCTTATGGTAGTGCCAGCCCTGACTATCCCCAATAGCCATGCTGTTACTTGAGGCTCGGGCTGCTCTGGGACAATCCCAGTGGGTGCCAGCTGCTGACAGGCCTGGCTGTGAGAGCGACTTTGGGGCAGCGCCTGTGTGACTACGAAATCTGGCCTGCTGCTGCCTGAGATACAACAGCCCAGATTTCTAAAATTTAATATATACACTCACATTACCATAAACTGCATAATACATACATTCATACACTGCCCAATACAAACACACACACAAAGTGCCTTATACATACATACATGCGCACTGCCTAATACATAAAACACTCTGTTTAATACACACACACACTGCCAAATACATCCATCACACATACAGACTGCTTGATCCACACACAAATTGCATAATGCATACATACACACTCACATTCACAGACACACACCCTGCCTAATACATATACATAGTGCCTAATACACGTACACACACACACTGCCTAAGGCATACACACACTGTCCAATACATACATACACACACACACACACACACACTATTTAATACATACAAACACAACAAGCAGCCCTCCCCCTTACATTCACAAGTGGAGGTTGTAAGCAGCCCATTATCAGAATAAATAAATTTTCTAAGCGCAGGGTAGGGGGCGGCAGCTCATGGACGTTGTGCCCTCTCTGTACAACGCTCTTTTGGAATCATGACGTCTTTCCACATCCTGACGGGCGGCCTTCGTACTCCATCCCTGCCGGCATGTGTTCATGTGGGGGCACTCCAGACAGACGGTAATACAGATTTAAACTATTTATCTAACCTATTACAGTTTTTATTCCACTTTAAAAAAGGAATTAGTTAAAATATTAAGTATTAGTTATGTTTTAAACAATCAGCACAATTTCACTACTTTTCATATAATATCATACTTTAAACAAAGATATGCACACAGTTAAGAATAATAACGTCCCTTTTAGAGAAGGGAAACTACCAAAACAGTTGATGTTCCTTGTGTAATAATTCTTCTTGATGGCAGCGAAACTTTGATAATCCTATAGATAAAAGACGATGAATTCTCTCAGAGCCGGATTCATTACTCCTACTACTGGCTGAAAGAACTATCCTCTATCTTCAGGCTATATAACAAACCTCTCGTCTTTTGATTAGAAGGTGTTGTATAAGATGTATTTGCAGTATTTATTAAGATCTATGATTCACAGATTTTTGCAAGTGCATCTTTAGTTATCTTCAGTCATGTATTTTTCTATTTGTCACTCGAATTGACAAAATCATTAGTTGCATTAGGTTTTTAGCAACTGTAAAGTGAGTTTTTCTGTTATGTAAAATTATCAAAAATGACATCTAAAAATTTTATTTTGTATTACTAGCAGGGGGTTTAAAGCTTGCTGCCATTTGGAGGAAAACAACAAACTTTACAACTAAAGTACAGTTAATTTTTGATACTCATTCATACTCATTAATAACCTTTACCACCTGTTTTAACTTTTTTTTTCTTTTTAATTCTTTATTTTTGAAGTTTCATAAGTTTTTTTCAGGTGTGAGGGTAACAGAAAGAAAAAAGGGAGGGGTAACTGTATGTGTTTACAAGAGTACAATTCCAGGGATTTCACAATGACAATTGTAATTATAGTGTCTTGCATTATGAAGTCTCATTGCATGTAACCATCTTAAGTTGCTAATTGCCATACATTTTTCAGGATTGAGGATAACATAGTAGAAAAGGGGTGTGGGGATGATCTTCACAAACTTCCTCTCTTTAGCTTTCTCAAGTTTCTAGTTCTATGTTTTGAGTTGTACCGCCTGGTTTCTGTTTTGTGGGCTGCTAGACTCGGTGGTACGTAGGCCTGGGTTTATAGCTTCTTGAGCGTGCTTGTTCTTGTTTATTGCCTGAAGTAGTGGCGACATTGTCCGTCAGGTCTGTTACGTTACAGAGGGGGTAAAGGGGTACTAAACTTGGAGGTGGGGGAGGGTTGTGGGTAAACTGAGAGGGGTAGTCTCCCTGGACCAGTGTGGGGGTCTCCCAAATGTCTTCAGGTCGCTTTGTGGTGTTTGGTTTTATGCTGGGTGTAATGTGTGTTCAGGTCGGGTGGTGTTCTTATGACTCGTGGGTGTAGGTGAGTGACCTTGGGATGTGGAAGTGTTTCAATTGGGTAGTGTAAGGTAGCCATGTGGGGTGTATGAGGAGGGTGTGGGATTGGGGGAGGAGGGGTCATATCGTTCCTCTTCCCGTTCCCCCCGTCCCGTCATTGCCAGCCAAACTATATTGCCATCCATGGGTCCCAGATCTTGTGATAAGATCTAGTGTTTTTTCGTGGATCAGTGCAGACAGTTCATCCATTTCCATTGCCTCCCCAATCTTTCTCCTGAACTCTGGAGTGGCCAGAATCTCCGGGCTTCCCCAGTGTGTAGCTATTGTTCTACGTGTTGCTAGGGCTACCTTTGCCACCAGCTTGTTTTGTGCTTGGGTCAGGTTTTTGTGGGGTTTTGACAGCAACCAAATCCAGGGATCTAAGGGGATATCGGTTTGTAGTGCTCTAGAAGTGGTAGTGGCTATATCTTTCCAAAGTTGGAATATATGCCTGCACTCCCACCATATATGGACGTATGTCCCTTTCTCGCCGCACCCTTTCCAGCATCTATCTGAATCTGTTTGTTTCATTTGTTTACGTCTCAGGGGGGTGAGGTACCACCAGAGCAGAGTTTTAACACAGAGTGGTTTACACAGATGGTGACTGTCACCGTGGCCTCCCATATTTTGGCCCAATCCGAAGGGTCTCCTGGGGGGCCCAGATCTCTTTCTCAGGCCTTCACATAGGAGAAGGCTTCGGGGGGGATTCTAAGTGTCATGGTGTTGTATAGACTGGATATTTGGCCCTTGTGTATGGGGTTGTTCAGGCATCCCATTTCGAATGCCGTGGGCCTTGCTACTGCCGCGGCGATGCCGGGGGTGGATAGAAAGCTTCGGAGCTGGAGGTAGCGGAAGTAATCAAATGTATTGTATGGTGTGTCGTGTGGTAGGTCTGGGAATTGGAGAAGACGGTTGTTTTGGTAGAAGTGGCAGATCCTAGTGAGCCCGTTGTCTTGATATTGGACAAAGTGTTGGGGCGTCATTCCCGGGGCAAATTAAGGGTTTCTCAGTATGGGCATTAGGGGTGAGGGTGTGTTAATGAGGTCATATTTATCTGTAACCCTATTCCATGTATGGATGGCTGTCATGAGGGCTGGTGTCGTGATTGGTGTCTGTGGTCTATGTTGTTTCGGTACCCAGAGGTAAAGTGATGGGAACTCTCTTCCAAATAGGTCATGTTCTAGGTCCACCCACCTTTTAACTTTGGAGGGGAGTGTATGGTTTGGATTTGTGCCAATTGGGATGCTTGGTGGTAGTCCTAGAAGTTCGGCAGGCTGAGACCTCCTTTTTTGCGTGGGATGTATAGGGTGAGTCGTTTGACTCTGGCTCTTTTCCCTGCCCAGATGAATTTATCTATATGCATTTGGAGGGTTTTAAAGTCTGCTCTAGAGATTAGTATGGGGAGGGTTTGGAACAGATACAGGAATCGTGGGAGTAGGTTCATTTTAATCGCTGCTAGTCTACCCAGCCAAGAGATGGATAGTGTTTGCCATGTCTGCAGATCTCTTTTGGCCTGGTCTAGTAATGGGGGGTAGTTCAGTCGGTACATGGATTGTAAGTCCGCGGGTAGGTAGATTCCCTCTTTAGCTTGTGCATTATGTCGGGAGAGGGAGTCATGATCGTATAGGGATGTGTAGAATTGGATGAAGGTCTTTGCTATCTTTGCTATTGGGCAGACTAGATGGGCCGAATGGTTCTTATCTGCCGTCACATTCTATGTTTCTATCTGTTCTGGTAGGTCTTGTGTTTGGCCGTCTGGGGTAGTGATCGAGATCAGGCGTTTGCATTGCGTCTTCTTTTTAAGTCTATGGACCAAAAGGGAAATCCGCCTTGCTCGATTTCTCATTAAACATCTGTCTTGTCCATAGTAGTGCTTTTTTAGAGTCTTGGGCCATGAACTTGTGAATCGCCTGTTTGTGCTACTGTATCTGTTGTATTAGGTCTGGGCTGAAGTTTAGTTTGTGGGCTTGTTCCACTTTTCGAAGTTCTGTTAGGTGATGGTCTAGTTGAGCCAGTTTTTGCTTTTTATGGGCTGTGGCCGCTGAAATGACACTGCCCCTGATTGCTGCCTAATGCGCTGCCTAGAGGGTGCCCTCTGAGGGGACCGAACCTTTGTTGATTGTGAAAAGTTCCTGTATGGCTTCTTTAATTGAGTTTTTAATGTGTGGGACATGGAGCAGTGTTGGGTTCAGGCGTCATGACCATTGTTTGTTGGTGTGTGGGAGCGTTATGGTTATGGAAATGTCTGCGTGGTCTGACCACGTGATTTGTCCTATCTCCGTATTGTCTACGTGTTGTAGTAGGGACGGGAGGTCAGGAACATGTCAATGAGTGAGTAGGACGTGTGTGGAATGGGAGAAGAATGTGAAGTCCGTTGTCAGGGGGTGCTGGGTTCTCCACATGTCTACTAGATTTGTGTTTGTCAGGAAGGTGTGCAGCAATTTGTCTGTTTTAGCCTCGGGTGGGGGTTGTTTTCCCCCTTGTTGCCTTCTTCGTCTGTCCTGTGGCAGAGATGGCATCACGTTGAGGTCCCCTCCCACCAGCTTGTGGTGGGAGGGGAACAAGCTCAGGTGAGCCTGTAGGGCCGTCCAGAATTGCACATTCGGGACTGTTGGGGCATAAATCGTTATTATCGCGTTATCATTATTATCGCGAACAGCCTCATTGTTCTGATGTTGAAGCAGCCTTTTAGCTGTTTCCAGTGCACCCGGACTGCCACCATCTGCTCGACTCTTTTCTCCAGGACAGTTATTATGTGGACTTGTGCCTGACCATGGGTTGCTTGATCTCCTGTTTTTATTTTGAATGTTTCAGCACGTTCCAGGAGGGGGTGGTGTGGGAGGAATTGGCTTGTAACTCGCGACTACACTACTCGGATGATTTCCTCTGTGTCGGTCCCGCAGGTTCGGATGTATGTGCACACCTTCTTCATACCCTGGAGTCGGTCTCCCGGTTCCTATATCCCCTAATAAGATGGTGGGTCCACTTGTTTGAGTTTCTTGGGGATAGGGATTGATTCAGTCACTGGGGAGTGTCGCTTGCCGGAGGATAAGGTGTCGGACTTGCGCGGCCCAGTTTCAGCCCCCAGGTCTCTCAAGAAGATGCAATTGCAACAGCTGCAGTTGCAATTTGCATGCCAAACTATTTGGGGAGGGTGTTTTCTCTTCGCTTATCAGCATGGACAGTTGGAGTGGAGCACCCACATAATTATTTGCGAATCACTCGCCCCCTCCGCGAGGACCTGGCAGTTTGGTCCGTCTTTTTGGAAGGTTTTAATTGTCGTTCTTACTGGCAGGCACCTGAGGTGTCCACTGCCGAGCTCCATCTCTTTACTAACATGGCCGGGACGGTGGATTTTGGGGACATCTTTGGTCCCCACTGGTGTGCGGATTCCTGGCTGGAGTCTTGGCGTTCTGCAGGGTTAACAAAATATGTTGCCTTCTTGGAGTTTTTCCCTATAGTGGTGGCAATGGAGCTCTGGGGGATCTCCTACGGGATTGGAGGGTGGTCTTCCACTGTGATAATATGGAGGTGGTGTTGGCCATTAACAATTTGTCGGCATTCTCCCCTCCCATGGTTCGGTTGCTGTGGCACCTGGTTCTGCACTGCTTGATTTTTAAATGTGTGCTGTAGGGCTGTGCATGTCCCTGGGGTTGTTCCTGTTGTTTGGGGATGTTTTCAGCGAGGTGGTGGCGGTGAGTTTCTTTGCTGCATAGGTCCAAGACAAATGTTCTTGACCAGGGCACTTGGTTCACCTTGTGGCAAGTCCCATGTTCTCTGGTTTGTCCACTGGCATGTTTTCATGCTGTCTGTGAAGTTTGCCCAGCGGGTGAGCTTCTTATTGCGATTCCAATTTATCAGGGTTTTTCCGCATGGCATTGGGGCTACCTAGTGCAGAGTTTGGGGGGCACTCCTTTCGCATAGGGGCTGCCACTGAGGCTTCATGCTTGGGGTTGTATGAGGAAGTCATCCAAAGAATCAGGAGGTGGGAATCTAGGAGGTTCCGTTCTTATGTTTGTCCAGCTGGACTGATTCCGTTTCCCCTTTTGTCTTTGTAGATGCCGGAAGGCGAGTGTGGGTCATCGTCCATTCATGCATTTATTGGGCACAACAGCGGGCTGAAGTTCGTTCCGGGGGACTACAACTTGGTCTGTTACCAGTGGTGGCAGAGGTCCATTGGTTCGGTTCCCAGGGTATGCGGTGGGAGCACCTGTTGCCTTAAATGGTCCGGTTGGCTCACTTACTCTGTGTTCCTGATGTGCTCTTGATTCATTTTGGGGGAAACGATCTTGGCACTATTCCAGTGTGGAATCTGGGTGAAACGATCCAGAAGGATTTGGTCGAGTTATGACTCAATTTCCTGAGACTTTGTATAGTTTGGTCCCAGATGCTGTCCCAGTATTATTTAAGGGGGCAAGGGACCCCAGGCTCTTGAAAGGAGCAGGATCAAGCTGAACAAGCATTTTTCTAAATTTATGAGGAGAATGGGGGTGCTCACGGTGCAAAATGTAGCAATGTATTTTAGGGGTGATGGGGTCCAGCTTACAGATGTGGGCCTGGATTTGTTTAATTGCAGGATGCGTTGGATGAGGCCATGGCTTTTGTTTTGGGGCAACCCTGCTGATTTAGGGGGTAAACCAGTAGGTCTTGTGGTGGTATATGGCCCCTGCCAACTGTGGGTTGGTAACAGCTTCCCGCCCTCCCTCCTCTTGTTGTCTTAATTATGTTTGTTTGTGTTGTTCTTGTCACAGCAGGGCAGTATATGACCCTTGTCAACCGTGGGTTGGACCAGCGGTCCGTGGAAAGTGGATGGCTGTCCCTCTCCTAACCTCAGGTACAGTTATGCACAAGCATAAGACCCTGTGGAGTGAGGCAAAGAAAGTAAGGAGGTCTTTGAATGGTGGGAGGAGTATTAAGGGGGCATAGTGGTGGGTTAGTTTAAATATGTAGGCAGCTTACAGGATAGCAGCCATCTTAATTATAAGTTGGAATCAGCTTCCCGACCTCCCTCCTCTTGTTGTATCTTAAATTTGTTTGTTTGTTTTGTTCTTGTCACAGCGTGGCAGTATATGGCCCTTGTCAACCATGGGTTGTACCAGCAGTTCGTGGAAAGTGGATGGGTAAGGCTGTCCCTCCCCTAACCGACATGCCCACTGAGCCAATAATCGGCCAGTGGTTAGAATTACGAGAATGGAAGACCCAGGAAAAGGCTTTATGTTGGTTGGAACGAGGGGGGAGGGCAGCTGCCCTAAGTGAATGTTTTTTGGTTGGCAAGGTGGTACTCCGTGACGGATATTTATTTACTGAGTAAATTATATATATATATATATATATATAGAATGTTTTATGTCTTAAAGTTGAAGTTTAAAGATTTATATATTTATATTTTAATAAAGCTGTGGATTATTTTCTCTAAACAAGTCTGTGGTTTGTTTATTTCGGGCAATAAGATTTGTGGTTTATAGGTGGGTGAGGATTATGCCAATAAACATTTACCCTATACCTATGCACAAGAGGCATGATCCATACACAAAAACTACTTCATTAAGCTAATATTATTTTGCCGACTATAGTGTCTCTTTAATATTAACTCAGCTTGCTAAAAATCTGAACCTAATGCACTGGCTAGAATTGCAAATTAATATGATCCAAGCTAATACTGAACTCACATAATTAAAGGATCACTATAGTGTCAGGAAAACTAAGTGGTTTTCCTAACACTATAGTGCCCTGAGGTTGCCCCCACCCTCAGGGTCCCCCTCCCGTGGCGCTGAAGGGGTTAAATTCCCTTCAGCAGCTTACCTTTTTCCAGCGCTGGGCTCCCTCAGCGCTGGTGACCTCTCCTCCCCGCCGCCCTCAGCTCCCTCTGCCGACGTCAGCGGAGCTGAAAGCGCATGTGCGGCAAGTACCGCGCATGCAATTTAAAGTGTCCATAGGAAAGCATTTTTCAATGCTTTCCTATGGACACTCTGCGTGATGGAGGCATTAAATGCCTCCAGCGTCGCAGATGCACCTCTAGTGGCTGTCCGGAAGACAGCCACTAGAGGCTGGCTTAACCCTGCAATGTAAACATAGCAGATTCTCTGAAACTGCTATGTTTGCATCTGCAGGGTTAAAACCTGAGGGACCTGGCACCCAGACCACTTCATTGAGCTGTCCCTTTAAATAATGGGTGGATTATAATAATTGATGAGTGAAGACATTACTATACTCTAAATGAATAATTTACATAATTATTTTTCTGAATTATATTATAGGTATGGCTTCTAGGTCCAGAGTTGGAGTATTTATTTTTTCTGCCTCGTCTGGTGGACTTCCTAATAATGAAATAACATTTGCCACTATGTTAAAGAAGAGAGGTTACTCAACAGGTCTTATAGGTAAGATTAACTTTCTGATTAAATATGTTTTTGTTAGTGTACCATACACTCGGATATGGTATTTATGTATTTGTCTTTGATGGACTGACATGGTTCTAATCATCTGGGTAATAATAGAACATGGGTCCCTAAATAGAATTATAGCTGTAGGACCCTTGATGCATGGATATATATTTGCCTACTGAAAATACTAGAGTTAAGTTTCAGACAGCATGTCCCAAAGTAGAAAAGTATTTGTTTATAGTATTATGTGTGTGTATAGAGGAAATGTCCAAACATAAGTTGGAAGGGAGACTTGGAAGCAGTTTACATATTAAGTATTGCAGTTAGCATGTAAATCTCACATGTTAAAATTATCATTAGACCTACTGATAATGGCCTACAGTGGCTTAACACAATACCAGTGGATTATCACTAGGCTGTAATGTAAACACTGCATTTTCTTTGAAAAGACCATGTTTACAGCAAAAAGCCTGAAGGGGATGAATATATTCACCAGAACAAATAAAATAAGCTGTAGTTGTTCTGGCGACTATAGTTTATCTTTGAATGTGATATGAATGCAGTGATTTCTGCAATTGGTTAGTATTTATATATTGAGGGATTTATTTGTGTGGTGTCAGTGTTTGTGTTTCTTAATGTTTTTTTTTGTTTGTTTTCCGAGTTTCTGGTCATCCCTTCTCCTCTTTTGCTATCCTGTACCTCTACCATTCAATACAACTTCCATCTTTCCCAGTGTCCCTCCATTTGTCTTCACATCATCAATCAATCCCACTTGTCTCTTATCTATCTCACCTTACATGACTCTCCCATCACCCTCTTGTGTCTGTCTAATTTCATCTTGCACTTCTTCCCCATGACCCCCCCTACTTTTTTTTCTCTATCCTCATAATGCCTCTATTGTGTGTTCTCCATCTAACTCCACATGTCTCTCTTCATTAACCCAAATGTTGTCTCTGCTACATCACATGTTTCTTCCCCATTACTCAATTGTTTTATGTCTCCCCATATTATTTCATAACTTTTGTCATCATCCACACATGTGTATTCCAAAAGGCCTCTCAAAAATCACAATCTTCTCCCCTCTCCATCCTTCCCTCTCACAAACATGTCCATTTTTCTCTTTTCTCACTCCATGTTCCATCTATTACCAACTTATAGTACAGCTCAGCAAGATAACACTGAACTCCAGTTGACAGTACTCCTGTTTTTTCCTCGTATGTCAGACATGCAGCTATGACTGTTGGTTGGTCAAGTTGGAGATTGTATGTAGGACCAACCCTCTTATACACACAGCGTACATGTGTAAATAATGTTTTGTGCTTGGGTTTTATAAATTCCAATAGGTTGGGGGGCCTTTAATGCCACGACAGGCTCTGAAACTATCTGGAGCATTAGTAACCAAAAGTTATTTGAGGCCATTGAGGGACATACTCTAATCGCCCAGTCAGTATATAAAGATTATGTCCAGGTGTTCAGTCCACATTTAACTGAATTCAACATACTTGTTTATTAAAAAAGACTGTTAATTTTTATTCTATATATTTGTCAATGTAAAAATAGCATAAATATGTGCAATTGTCTGTGACTTGTCTTGCTCTTTTAACCTGTAACTCAAAATGTACATGATTTTAACATTATAGCATATATTCTGTATATATAATCTGTATTATTATTTTTGATAATGGACCATTTAAAATATAAATGATGAATATGAATGATATTCAACATCATTGTGCTTATTCTCATTTAGAGTCAGATCAAACCGCAACTGTGGATTGCAGTTTAGGATATTATCACTGCATATTAGTATTGCTTAAACACACAAACTCATTAAGAATTCTGACTTTTTACCATTGATCTTCAGGGATACACATCATTATTCTCACGGTAGTTAATATAACCAGTTTTAACTGAGTATAATTATGCAAATGTTTGTGGGAAACTGGAAATGAGGCTTGCTGGAATTATATAAGCTGCATTTTACTTGCTAAATATGTATAATTGTATAAGTTAAATTTATTTTTAGGATAGCTTATATGAGGAGGATTTATTAATGTAATATGCAGCTAGAGGATTTTGAAGCCTTTTGTCAACCCATTTTTGTTTGCACTTGCTCTTTATTTGTTATTTTTGCACATATATTTTTGTGCCAAAGACATTATTTTTGTTATACTATCAAAGATTATCTGAACTCCTACTCATATGATGTACTCTGTATATCAGTACAAATAAATACATTTATTTTAGATCACTTTTATTAAACTGTACAAATTGTCCATAGAGTATAATTATTATGGCCACATCTGTTAAAAAAATTAATGTTTTTACATTTTAATTATAACATATGAGAATTTATGTATCTGAGACCTGAACAAGAATTTACCGAAGGTCGAGCTACTGAGTCCTCTAAGCTTTTGTCCATTATCAGAGTTTGCATATTCTTTGTTTTTGTTGCACTAACTTGACTCCCCCCCCAGTTAAAAGGGTAATTCAGATGTGGACCCCATGCTCGCTGTATCTAGAGGGGTATCCGCTACACCTCACTGACGAGAACCAAAGAAGGCCAAAATAATTATTCGGGATTGCTGCATCTCTCAGGCAGAGAGAACTTGCTGGCATTTTGGCTCTGGACTGCCCTTATGGGTTTTTTATGGGTGCAATCAATCTGATATGCCTTGGAACTGTATCTCTCTGTAATAGCACAAGTGAGCAAAAACTATTTTGAGATCTGAGCATGGATTTACTGAAGGAAGCTCAGAGTTCTCATATTTTATATTTTTATTGCACTAACTTGGCTCTTTTGTCTGTATGTGTCACATCAAATTAAAGCCTTTTTGTCCTTTAATAAACAGCATATGAAATGTGATGGTGAAATAAATGAATACAATGGAAATGAGGTTGAACACACACAAATAAAATGCCAAAAGTGATAGTCCATTGTTCAAATGCAAAATTTTAAAATTTTAAAATAACTATACCCAAAATAAGATATACCCCAAATGAAAACATGTATTTTTTTATTTATTTAATTAATTAATTATTTTTTATTTTTTATTGCGAGTATATGTAAAAACAGCTTGCAAAAGCTACAAATCTCTTGTCTGCTGCCTTTGCAAGTCATTCTCTTCTTCCTCCGCCCAGAAATTTTGTGACTGTCCATTCACAAACTTCCCAATGAAGCTTAATAAGAAGTATTCGCAAGGCAGGTGCTTTTGTCAATTTCCTGCCTCTGGAGTCTAGCTCGACCGAGCTAAACAACCAGGAAGTAACAGGACCAGTTCTCTGACAGCCAGGGGGTGTAACAAGGTTACTTTATAAAAGTGCCAATGTCTGCTGAAATCAGAATTTTTCTTTTGTAAAATATATATATATTTTTAAAAGTACACATACTTATTCTACAAAGAATGGCTATGTAGTGGGACCTCAGGAACAATACTATGTTCTTTCCTGCAGTGGCGGTGTTTTCATAGTTTGTATTATTATTATTATTTTTTTTTATAACACTTGTATGTTGTTGGCACTGTGTGTTTTCATTCACCGAGACTTAGTGAAGGGTGAAAATACCTAGATCCCTAAAAAGAGGTCACCTGCAAAAAAATGGTTATTGCACAACATCTGGCACCTGTACCTGACCATATAATTGTAATAGTGGACAGAGATCTTAGCGTCTAAAAACATTTATACATGAAAAATGAGTTGCCCGTGCCCACATCCCCAAACCAGTGCCATCCCCGGATAGCTCTTCCTGGAGCACCCATTTTATCCAAAAAGCGCTCGGATCAGAGGTGCCTCGCCTGAATGGTCTGGATGTTAAGTTTTGACCGGGCTGCAAGCATCCTCTGAATCTAGTGCAGAGTTCCATGGTGAAGGGTCTGCGGCGCATTGTTGACATTTGACAGATCATATTAACCTATATATGAATGCCATTTTCAAAAGTAGACACTATGGTATATTTGAGTCATATTGTGCTCAATTTATTTAATTTTTTTGTACTTTTTTTTCCACATGTGATTTACTTTAATAACCTTAATAAACAGCTTCTGTAATAAAATCAGTTTAGCTCAGCTAGATTCCTGAGTACAGAATGATCTCATTTGCGTACCCTTGTAACGTTTTTACTGAATTAATACGCTGTCCACTGCAGTTTCTTCAGAAAATGGCAATATTAAGATGGGTAGTAGCTCCAACATTTTAATTACTCCATAAATGCAAAGAAACATAGAATGTGACAGCAGATAAGAACCATTCAGCCCATCTACTCTTCACAATTTTCTAAATACCTTCCGTAGTCCCTGGCCTTATCTTATAGCTAGGATAGCCTTATGCCTATCCCACGCATGCTTAAACTCCTTCGCTGTGTACCTCTACCACTTCAGCTGGAAGGCTATTTTATTTATTTATTTATAAAATATTTTACCAGGAAAGATACATTGAGATTTCTCTTGTTTTCAAGTATGCCCTGGGTCCACAAAACATTGCATTGTTACATTAGGGTACAATAAAATACAAATACAATACAAATACAAAATACAAAAACAATATTAATACACAATATATACAAAATTTACCATAGAACAGGTAGGAAATATATAATCACCCATGACATGTGCATTCTGTTTTGAGGTATGTAGAGAGGGATCTCTTAAAGAACTCTAGGCTTGGGGAAGATTTTAAGGTGTGCGGGAGGTCGTTCCACAATTGCGGCGCTCTGTAGGAGAAGGAGGATCGGGACGCTTTCTTTTTGTATTGAGGTAGACTAAATAAAGTTCTGGTACTGGATCGGAGGTTATAAGAGGTGGGAAAAGCTGAGGAGAGCATTTTGCTCAGGTAGGGTGGGAGTTTTCCAGAAATTTCATGCATCCACTACCCTCTCAGTAAAGTAATACTTCCTGATAATTTTTTTAAACCTTTGTCCCTCTAATTTAAGACTAGGTCCTCTTGTTGTGGTAGTTTTTATTCTTTTAAATATAGTCTCCTCTTTTACTGTGTTGATTAGCTTTATGTACTTAAATGTTTCTATCATATACCCCTGTCTCGTCTTTCCTCCAAGCTATACATGCTAAGATCCTTTAACCTTTCCTTGTAAGTTGTATTCTGCATTCCGTGAACGAGTTCAATATCGGTATCCTTCTGGAGATACATTCTCCAGTACTGCGTACAATACTCCAAGTGAGGTCTCACCAGTGTTCTGTACAATGGCATTAGCACTTCCCACCTTCTACTGCTAATACCTCTCCCTATACATCCAAGCATTCTGCTAGCATTACCTGCTGCTTTATTACATTGTCTGCTTACCTTTAAGTCATCAGAAATAATTACCCCTAAATCCTTTTAATCAGATGTTAAGGTTAAGACTTTATAAAATATTCTGTACTCTGCCATTGGGTTTTTACGTCCAAGATGCATTATCTTGCACTTATCCACATTAAATATCAGATGCCACAATTCTGACCATTTTTCTAGTTTCCCTAAATAATTTGCCATTTGGCTTATCCCTCCTGGAACATCAACCTTGTTACATATCTTAGTATCATCGGCAAAAAGACATACCTTACCATCAAGACCATCTGCAATATCACTAATAATATTAAAGAGAATGGGTCCAGGTACAGATCCCTGAGGTACCCAACTGGTGACATCACCATGCTTTGAATATACTCCATTGACTAAAACCCTCTGTTGCCCATCACTCAGCCACTGCCTTACCTATTCAACAATATTGGAATATCATTTACAAATGTGGACACCAAGGGGCTCTCACATGATCACATACTTGGAGCTTTATTGAGGTGACATTTTTTCGAAATTTTTTTCAAAGCTTGTGGTATTCATCTTTATTTTATAATTCTTACACACACATCTGATTTATGCTGCATATTTTCTAAATCACATGTATGTCATTGTAATAATATTCCCTAACCTCAACTATACTCTGCAACATCCACTGAGAAAAAATATAAGCTTATGAATATATTTTCAAAGTATCAATCCTAATCGTAAACATGACCTTTACCCTAACACTGGCAATAGTGTTAGAGGGATTCGATCTGTTGACATCAGCAGATTCATTTACTTGCTGGTCCTCATCCTAACTCTTAATGCTAACGCTGGCTCCAAACCTAATCCTAAATGTGATCCTTATCCTAAACACAACTCTAATTCTAACTTTAGCAATAATGTTAGAGGGATTTCCTCTGATGTCAATAGAGGGAATCCCTCACAGTGCATAGTAGTCTCTGCATGTTCTGCACTATTACGTAGCAGAATGAGAGTGATTATTTCCATCTCTGCTGCTAAATCACAGCTGATCAATCTCTGCAGTCAGTGACTATGCTGCAGAAGGCTTGCAGTAAGATCTAACTGGAGTCTCCTCGGGCCCTGTGGATCTACCCCTGTCAGAGGGAATCACTGGAAATTACTTCACCGGTACTGTGGCTGAAACCAGAACTTCAGCCACTGTGATTTTAAAGGGTTGATAAGACCCTAAAACCACCACCATTGTGAAAAGCCCCAAATGGACGAAATTGAAAAGTCCATGGTTGAAGTTTTGCAAATATTCTGTGAAAGGTGGATATATGCATAGCTCCTGTTTGAGCTATGCATATGATGCAAATTAATAAAGTTCTGAATGGCAAAGTACGTGGACACCCCGACTAATTAAGCCAAAAGGCAACATAGACAAAACATTGGCAATACATGTGATCATATTGAAGAGCTCAGTGACTTTAAATGTGGCACTGTGGTAGGATGCCACCTTTGCTACAAATCAGAAATTTCTACCCTACTAGATCTGACCTGGTAAACTGTAAGTGCTATTATTGTGAATTTGAAGCATCTAATATCTGTTGCATCACTTACTACAGAGTTCCAAACTCCCTATAGAAGCAAAATGAGTACAAGAACTATGTGTCATACATTCATGAAATGGCTTTCAATAGCCAAACAGATATAAGCAAACATATCAACATGCACAATGCCAAGCATCAGCTGGAGTGGTGTGGAGCATGCTGCCACTGGATTCTGTAACAGTGGAAACATATCCTAAACCACATTTCACTTTTTAGGAAGTCTGATGGAAGAATCTAGCAGAGGCGGCTCTAGACTTCATGAGGCCTTAGGCGAAACTCAAACATGAGGCCCCACTATCAAAAAAGTGTCACATTGATGCACAGTTTACCTGCCTGAGAGTGTGTCTGACAGAGAGTATCCTTGTGATAGGGAGAGGGAGGTGATGGTGAGAAGGGGTGATGGTAGGTGGTGGTGATAATGAGAGGGAGAGGGGGATAATGTGAGGGAGGGAGGTGATGTGAGAGAGGTGATGTGAGAGGGAGGGGGAGGTGATGTGATGTGAGAGGGAGGGGGGTGATGATGGGGAGGGTGGTGAGTGGGGGTGATGCTGAGGGTGGTGGAGGGTGATTGAGGGTGAAGGGGGGTGAGGCAGAGGGTTGTGGGGAGGGATGCTGAGGATGAAGGGGGATGGTGAGGGTGGTGGGGGTGGTGAGGCTGAGGGTGAAAAGGGGGGAGGTGAGGAAGCCTACCTTCATGTAATCTCGCGAGATGTCAGAGCGTTTCCGCGGTAACCCGCGGCAACGCTCTGATTGGCCAATTCTTGTGAGACACATGGTCTGCAGCTCTGCAAACTGTGGAGCTGCAGACCAGTGTCTGCGGTGGCTGGCCGGGCAGACAGGAGGGGCCTCGCACCCGGCGGCATACCGGGCAAGCCGCCGGGCCCCCTCCTGGTGTCAGGTCCTTGGTCACTGACCGAGGACCTGACACAGTCTGCTCACAGGTGGTTTAGGCAGCCGCGAGGCCCCAGCCAGCGCGAGGCCTTAGGCGGCCGCCTAAACCGCCTAATTAGAGAGCCGCCTATGGAATCTAGGTATAGCAATTGTCAGCAGGACTCTACCTGAACACTGTTTTTCAGTGTGTATGCTTAAGTCGCAGTGAAGGGTGATCTTAATGATACAGGATACAAAGACATTTAAGACAAGTGGATGCTTCCAATTTTGTAGCACAAGTATATGGATGGCTATTTCCTGTTCTAGCATGACTGTGTCCCAGGTGCAAGTGAGGTCCATGGAAGCAAGGTTTAACAAATCTGGTGTTGAGTAATTTGAGTGGTCTGCACAGAACCCTGACATGAACCCAATTGAACATCTTTGGAATGACATAGAAAACTAATTGTCAGCCAGACATTCTCATCCAACACCAGTTTCTGGCCTCAAAAATATTTTGGCTGACTGGGCACAGATTCCTACAGACACATTACAACATAAAAAAAAAGTGGTGATTGTTTGCTACAAAGGATGTGTCAACTGTAAATCTCTATTCATGCTTCAGCAATTTAAAATGTTATGTCCAAGAAGCGGTTATGGTCAATAGGATACATAATGATGAACTGTGTATTATGGGACAATAATGCCATTGAGAAATCACAACACTTCAGTGTTTTATATCTTTTATATTCTGTATTATAAAAAATAGAGTTAAAGATATTATTAGGGTTTCACTGACTTTGATTAGCAACAGAACATATGTGTTCCACTGAGCCCAAGACTGTGGGTAAATACAGTAAAAATAAAGAAAAATAAATAAAATAATAAATATTCCCATAATAAGTCCAGGCAATAATGAAAATGTATATTTAATATCCGGTCTGTTCTCCTCTCATATTTGCATTGTAATGTGAAACCGATGCTATTACTACCTGTATTATATTTTTAAATGTTAGTCTAGACTTATAGAAAAAAATATTTGAATATCTAAATCCACCTTTTGTGCTTTTAACATAAATTAAAAAAGTCAAAGAGAGAATGTATTTTCTTTAAAAGGTATAAAGAGGAAACGCCAGCATGACATTGATCTCCGAAAGCCGATTACTAAACCCTGTAGATTTTTTAAGTGAGGTAAAAAAATTGAATAATTTCAAGCTATAGAATGTGAATGTTTTGGATTTTAGATTTAAAAAAAATAGAAGTGAGCTGAAGTTATGAGTTTGTATGAGTTTATTGAAGTTACGGTGAATATCATAAAATAGTGGATGAGCAAGCATGACGTTCATTACTCTTTTGAAGTGATTGTAGAGGACAACATAAATTTTCAATATTAGTCTTCACGAGTTATGTAAACAATCTCCTGTATATAAGCAAACATATGAACAAAGGAATTGGGAGCAGCACAGGTACAGAATACGTTTGTTTTTTAGCATATATTTATTTTAATGTTTAGTCCCTTGTAACACAGAGAAGAATTTAATATAAAAAAACAACATTTGTTGTTGAAGCAACATTTACCCTAGAGAATTGTATAAGAATGGAGGGCGCACAATAATTGATACAGATATGAATGAATCATAGTTCAATGTGCTCACTATAGTAAATACAAACTCATACAATTAAGCACTGCGCTCCAAATGCCCATTTCTAATGGGTGGCAACAATGACTATTGTATACAGTAGGGATGTGCATGGGCGAAAAATTTGGTTAGGCACTTCCGAAATTGGGGACTTCAACAATTCAACACTTCCGCACTTCGGTTTGGCACTTCTGAAATTTGGGACTTCGACAATTCAGGACTTCGGCAATTCCCTAACCCTACCCATAACCCTGTAACATATTCGGTTGCGGTATCTGCACTCAGCGACTATGCATCAGTGTACCTGACTCCTGCAACATGTTGATGGACGCCGGCCGCTGTGGATTCATGCCAAATTATAGCCCCACGTCCACCCATGGGGATGATGACGTCGGCGTGCGTATGATGTCACGTGGGAGAGGCACGCGCACGTTCTGGGGTCAAAGGCTGATTTCATCCAATCAGATTTGTGAAGGTCTTATTTAAACACATTTTTACTTCTCCTCATTGCCCTGTCGTGGTTTCCCTTAGTGGTTGTCAGAGAGTGTGTTCCTGAGTGTTTATATCTGGTTATTGACTTTGGCTTTGTTTTGACTTCCCTGTATTCTAGTATCCCTGACTTTTGGTTTTCCCTTATCGTTGCGTCCCATTCTGTGTCCCTGACCTTGGCAAGTATTCTGACTACTCTTTGGTACGTTAAGTCCGGCCATTCTAACTTACCTTTGAGTTACCTTTGAGTTATAAGGGGCGATAAAGTTCTACGTGTTGGATCAATTTGTAATCCTGACAAACCCTACCCCTAACCACCACAACCACTTACACATCTAGGGGTATGGTTAGATTCCTGTCATCATTAACATAATTTTCTCTCCCTCTCTTGTTTTGACACTTTTCAGAAATCTGAAGCAATTCAGCACTTCCGAAATTTGGCACTTCGGTAATTCGGCACTTCACCAATTCGGTTTGGTTCGGCACTTCCAAAATTCGGCACTTCGGCAATTCGGACATTCAGAAGCATCCAAATGTCAGAATTGCCAAAAATTGTCCCAATTTACATTTGAAACAAAACGAATTGCACATGTCTAGTACACAGCATTTTCAATATATACAATAAAAAACAAATAAAGAAGTTACTTGTACACTATGCCAAATATCTATGCACATTTAAGTAACTGGACTTTTTATTTTAGTATCACTTCAAAGGCCTGTAAAGTCACCTGCCACATCAAGGAAGAACCTCTTAAGTGAGTCCTATACTAACAATACACCTTGCTTCTTTAAGCTGAAAGGCAAAATCTCCAATGAGACATAGATGGATATTTTTCTAAATACCTACGCACATATTAACCCTTAATAGGGCACACATGGGATGGGCAGTAGCACTGTAACATGACTGTGTAATACAAAACAAAAAGGAAACTCATAAAATGCAATTAATTTTTTAATACACATATAGTAATCCATAATCCCTACAGTAACCCAGACTCAGAAATACAATGTCAGAGACTAGGAAAACAGTAGCTAAAATGAAAGGGTCTGCGCAAGATACATTTACTGGGCTTTCTATTGGCCGGGCTTAGCATAGTAGGGCAAAAATACAGTGTCAGTAGAAAGCCAAGGTCAAGGGAATCACTGGAAATGACCTCACTAATACCGGTGCCGAACCCAGGAGTTCAGCCATGGTGATTTTAAAGGGTTGTGTGTGATAAGACCCCAGAATCAGCACCATTGTGAGAAGACCCAAATGGCTGAAATTGTAGTCTATGGTTAAAGCTTTACAATTAATCTGTGTAAGGTAGATGTGTCCCAAAGTCCTGCTTGAACTATGCATATGATGCAAATCAGTAAAGAAACGCCAAGTTTTCAGTATACACTCTTGGGCTGTAATAAAAAATGGCAAGGCAATGGTCCTGCCGTATATATAGGGACAACCAAGATAATAATGGACATTATCATCACCCTGCACGAACGTACACAAAGGGGTGTGAAATGTAAACAGTAGATGATGTGTCTCATAATTATGACCTGTATATCTTTTATTATAAAAATATGTAAACCTACAGGGTCCTGTAACTTTAAAGACACTTGTATGTGGAGTGAGGTTGATGTAGTGATCTGGCAACCCAGCGAGAGTGACAGAGTGCAGAAAACGTTCTGCATGTGGAACTTTAGAACGATGCGTGGTATTCAAGTCAGAGGTGCCCAGCTTTTGACGTGGAACCGGAGACATTGTGGCTGCTGCGTGGCTCCCACTGGAATGTGCATATTACGCAGAGCAGCTTGAGAAAGCTTTTCCTGAAAAGATTTCTGTAGCTTTGCCATGACAGGAGGCTCAGTGCCCAGGTGGACCCATGTAGCCTTTGCAAAATGATTTGCTCCATTAGCAGATAAGGGCACAGGGTGCTCCTAGCATCAAAACCTCTGATGCTTGGAGTAATACGTTAATAGTGCAGAATGGTGACCTTTTCAAATGAATAAACTACATATCAATCGGCTTTGGCCAGCATTAACATTTTTTACATAATCTAATCTTAATGGAAATTACTTCTGAATTAAATTTTGTTTTGTTTTTTAATTTGCTTTTAAGCACACATTTCTTGAGTTAAATTATAATCTTGATGTTTAATTGGATTAGTTTTCTTTATAAAGTTGGTATTTATTCCAAAAACTGTTGGAACTGTTTTGCCAGTATTAAGGAAAACTGTTTAAGTGACCTCTATCAACAGAGGATAGAATTAAGGAAAACTTTTATTTTATTTTCAGATGAAATGGTTTGTCCAAAACACACGTTTCTGCCATGTACAAGTATAGTTTCTATTATCATTTACACTTGGTCTTTTCTGAAACTGAAATTAGCCAGTATTCAAAGAGCACAAGAAACATTTGTTTTGCAATTAAACAACAAATCATCAGTTTTGTAAAGTGAACTTTAAAGTGACACCATAGTCATCAGAACCACTACAGTGTTAGCACTGTAAACACTGCCTTTCCAGATAAAAGGCAGTGTTTACGTTGCTGGCTATTAATACCTCTAGTGGCAGTTACTCATTGGAGGTGCTTCCTAGTCCAGTGCTGTACTGTGTGTTGAGACACTGAATGTTCACCATAGAGATGGATTGATCTATGAGAACATGTTGATTGACGCATTGAAGCATTTTGCCTTTATATCTGCATAAGCCTCCAATGAAACATTGGATTGGCTGAGATCATTAGGTTTGAACTCATCTATAGACCAGGCAGGGCCAGCCACAGGGAGACATGCATGGCATGGGAGAAAGGGTGAGTAAAATCACATTTTCACTGCATAGAGAGGGGGACAATCACCTAAATAGTCACTTCAGCACTTTAGTGTGAGAAATACATGTTTGTATTTCTGACACTACAGTGTTCCTTTAAATTATGCATTGAAAAAAAAAAAGAAAGCCCATCAACAGCTTAATTGTAATGCCTACCAGTTTTGTTCAAAATGCTTTGCATGAGTGTTATAAAGGATGTGTTTGTTTGGGAGTGACAATATCTTCAGGGATAATAAAAATAGAATTTGTCACACTCAAAGATCAACTTGAGAACTTTGCTATTATTAATTTTATTGTAGTAGTTTGATATCAGATGCTTATTTATGAGGTGCTTGATTTCATAAAGCCTAAGTTTCCTCTGGCTAAAAAAGATGTACCGTACAAAAAAAAAGAAAAAGAGAACTCCCAATTGTATTAAAGGAATACTCTGGCCCCCATAGCATCTTTTCTTTTCTATCAATGGAGAGCTACTGATTAGCTTAGAGTGTCAGCTGACCACTCTAGCCAATGAATGGCGCCCCCCAACTGACGGCACTTCATGCTTCCTATAACTAAGATTCAGAAGCTTGATGCAGCCTGTGGGACCTGGAGATCGGCACTGAATGCATCTTATGGGATTACATAGTTACATACATAGCTGAAAAGAGACCTTTGTCCATCAAGTTCAGCCATTCTAGGTCAAACCATTTGAGCACTTAGAAGGACAGTGATCTTTAGAGTTGTAAAATCACCCTTGTACTCATACTGACACAGAGAATCCTTAAACTGAAACTATAGTGCACTATAGTACCCTCTAGTACCCTCCCCCCCGTGGCACTGGAAGGCTAAAAACCCCTTTGTCACTTGATTTCAGTGCTGACATCACAACATCAGCCAGTGGGGAGTACTTAATGCGTATGTGCAATGAGCGCCGTGATCACATCAGGACTATTCCATAGGAAAGAATTAAATCAATGCTTTCATATGGGCTTTAGCTGACACTGGATGTCCTCATGCAAAGCATAAGCAAGTCCAGCATCATTTAGTGGAACAAAAGTATACGAAGGACAACCAAAAGAGGCAGAGTTTCGCAATTTCGCAATAGCTGCAGTAATTATAGTTGCAGGGTTAATGGGACAGGGACACTGCACCCAGACCACTTCAATTAGATGAAGTGGTCAGGGTGCCTATAGTGTCCCTTTATGTACATAATAAGCTGAAGTTTTGTCCTTAAATGGTTAAAGGGTATTTGTCACTGTCACTCTGGAATTTATAACACTGAATAAAAGATTGAAGATCACCTGTAACTTTTTTAAATTTTATTTATATAAAACATTTATCAAATTATATCATAATTCGGTTCAGACAAGGCAAGGGCAAACATAACAAATTAAAGGACCACTTTAGGCACCCAGACCACTTCAGTGCAATGAAGTGGTCTGGATACCAGGTCCCCATAGTTTTAACCTGCTGCTGAAAACATAGCAGTTTCAGAGAAACTGCTATGTTTACGCTGCAGGGTTAATCCAGCCTCTAGTGGCTGTCTTCCTGACAACCAATAGAGGCGCTTCCGCGATTTACATGGAGTAAATAGCACTTATTTGACGCTGGACGTTCTCATAGACCTCCAGCGTTAAAAAGATACCTATAGGAAAGCATTGAGTAATGCTTTCCTATGGGCGGGTTTGAATGCGCGGTGCGTCTGGCCGCACTTGCACATTTGGCTCCACTCGGGAGCTGATGTCGATGGAGGAGGAGAGGTCACCAGTGCCGAGGAAGCCCGGTGCTGGATTAAGGTAAGCAAACACATGGTTAATTAACCATTTATATTCCTAATGCTATAGTGTTTCTTTAAGAATATTAATAATTTTAATTTCTCTTCTTGTCTATATGCCTGCTCTGTGGTGACTGCCAGGTGCAAAGGACAGAGCTTATAACCATGATTGTTAGGATGCTCAAATGGAAGCTCACAATTGCAGATTATAGATGTGTGGATTCATGTTTCATACCTAACAAAATATATTTGTTAAATACAAGGATAACTAAACATAATATTACAAACCATTTGCCCTTTAAGCAATCACAATCTTTCCAAAGAGAATGTATCAAGTCATAAATGAAACTATTGGATACTTATGAAATTCAACACTAAAAAGACTTGATAAATAACTGAAAAAAACCCAGTTTACAACCAGTTAACCAATACCAGGAAAAACGTGTTTTTGCATGATCAAAACCATCAGCACAAACACCTCCCCAGAGTTGATGAGATTTGCAAGCAGTGTTGAATGTTTACTAACAATTCCTTGTTAATCAATTAAAGCAATTAACGGACAAATGAGTGCTGTAATAAGAAAATAATGAAGCAAAGTTGATAACACAACAAATACACATGTGCACACTACATGAAATGTCCGTTTCGAACTACCTTAAAGAAACACACACACACAGCAACGTGGAACACATTAGATTCATGACCTATGGCATAAGTAAATTTGTATGAATAGAATTCATAACTGTGAGTAGGGCTTGCTAACCAGTGAGCCAGTCAGTGAGTAGGGCTTGTTAGGTGAGAGGAAACCCCGGATGTATTAAATAAGCCAAGAATTGGGGCCCCTAGGATACTATGGCAGAAAGTTTTACTGCAGGCCTTGAGGGATGGTGAAACGCAGGATTGATATAACATGACAATTGTAAGTCTCCTTGAATTATATAATATTATCAAACTTGATTTGGCTTGATTCAAAGTGTCAAGTAGTAGGGCTGTCCTGCATGTTAAGATGCATATAGTATTAGCCTTGACTTTTAAAGTTGCGAGGGCATTGTCAGTGGGATGGGGTTTGGTGATTATGTCACTAACTTTTGATCATATAGAATTTTTCAAACTTGCACTGATTCTTGCTTCCAAAGAATGTTTAAATATTCTAAATTCTGGTATCATTTGTAATGTGGAAATCATGGCCCTCTTAAATGCTCTTATATTTTAAGAATGTTGGCTTTGTGCGCAGTACCTAAACATCTACCTGATTTATCCTTGTGTCTGCAATTCTATTTCTTCCTCTCCTTAACCTTCTGTGCACTTTTTGTCCATCTAAAAGTGACCCATCTCTATTTTTATTCAAATCTGAATTCTCTCACTTGCATGCACTTGCTCTCCTATCTCTTATAGCTATGCATCCTACCCTGCATTCACCTGTACTCAACAGCTGTCTCAAACCCCTTGAAACCCCCACTATCTCTCCCTTACACTCCCTCTTGACCATCACACACTCCTCTTATCATTCTACACAATTTACGCCTACACAAGTGTGTGTTATTTTTTTCATACTTCATCCTCCAGCAGTATCCATTCTTACTCACTCTCTGACTTTTATCTGCTGCTAGACCTGTATCTCAGCTACTGGTAAGTGCATATTAAATATGGCTTCCTATGAGTCTTGCTTTTTATTTTAGTTTAACGTCAGAATTGACAAATATTTGTGAGGAAAATTGCAGCGTATGTCTTTGTTGACACGCAAAAAAGCTACAATATTGCCTGGCCAAATGGCTATGCAACTTAAAGAGGCGCTATAGTCACCAGAACAACTACAGCTTATTGAATTTGTTCTGGTGAGTAGAATCATTACGTTCAGGCTTTTTGCTGTAAACACTGTCCTTTCACATTACAGCCTAGTCATAACTTCACTGGCCACTACTCAGATTGCTGTTAGAGATCCTTCCTGGGTCATGGCTTCCTAAAATGCATCCAAACATTCAGTATCTCCTCCCTCTGCATTCAGACACTGAACTTTCCTCATAGAGATTCATTGATTCAATTCATCTCTATGAGGAGATGCTGATTGGCCAGGGCTGTGTTTGAATCATGCTGGCTCTGCCCCTGATCTGCCTCTTTGTCAGTCTCAGCCAATCCTATGGGGAAGCACTGTGATTGGATCAGGCTACCACTTCTGATGATGTCAGCAGACTGCTTGTTTTTTGTTTGTTTTTTGAGGCAAACAACATGCAGATCTACAGCTTCTGGCTTGAATACAGTAAGATTTTGCTATATTTATGGAGGCATGAGGGGCCAAGGGGGGCTAGCTGGTGGTTTTAACACTATAGGGTCAGGAATACATGTTTGTGTTCCTGACCCTATAGTGATCCTTTAAGTCATTTTCACAATGCAATTCTGAGTTGACGAAATGAGATTATTATTAGACGTGCATTCAATTTGCTTCAAATTGAATTTCCACTAAATTTTTTAATTTGGCAGCTTCTGAATTCCAAACTCTTATGCAAGCCGAAAATAAATTAATCAAGAATGAATCGGAAAAAAACTACACATTTTAAATGCATTTGTTTTCATAAGTATTGTAAATTAGGTAACTCTCTATTAAAGGGGCTCTTTAGGCACTCAGACCACTTCAGTTCGTTGAAGTGGTCTAGGTGCAGTGACCCTGTTACTGAGAAACTGCAATAATTACCTTGCAGGGTTAAGACTGTCACTAGTGGCTGTCAATCAGACAGCCACTAGAGGCTCTTCCTTGTGGTTTAGCGACTTTTGGTCATGTTCTATATGAGGACATCCAGCATCATTCAATTTCCCCATAGGAAAGTATTGCAGCAATGCTTTCCTATGGGGAGCTCCCCCTGGCCTCCCCATCAGGTGATATTGGAGGGGGCGGAGCACTGACCAAGAACTGAGGGACATCGGCGCTGGAATTACTAAAGGACAGTAAGGGTTTATTAGCCCTTTGCCACTGTCTCTTACCTTAATCCATCGAGCCCACGTGGAGTCGGAGCTGACACCGGCTCCAATCTTAGTGCATTCGACATGTCCCACGCCAGATGCTGAAATCACGCACCTCTTCATGAATCAGCGCAAAAGCGCCAACATCATGACATCAAAGACACAACCCCACATCATCAATACCGGCCCAGTGGTGCGGGTGGGGCGTGGTCTTAAAGCAAAAGATGTTCCCTTATAAAAGGCACCTTTTTCTTTGTCCCTTGCCCTATTTGGTTCTCCTTGCATTTGTATTGTTTTTCCTGTGTACTGACTCGACTTGGCTTTTGACTTCCTGATTTCTGGTATCCTGACCCGGCTATAGTTGTATCATTCTCCTGATCTCTGGTATCCTGATTTTTGGCTATTCTTCGACTGCTCCTCTGGTATTCTGATTTATGGCTATTCGCGTTTGGGTTTTCTGTGGGTTTACATAATACGTGTTGGGTTATCACACAACTGTAATACCCTTAAATTTTCAGGGGCAAGCCGTGAAGGCAGAGGTGGGGCAAGAGGTAGCTAAAGTGCTAGAAATATAACTTTGTTTTCCTAGCACTATAGTAACCATTGAATTATTTTGTTAAATTTAGGAAATAAAGCAATTGTGGTACATTTTTAATTTGCCTCAGATTCTAGATCGTGCAATACATAACATTAGAACAAGCAATCTAACCACAAAGTAATACATTTTTATCTGACTTTATCTATAGGAAAATGGCACCTGGGACTGAATTGTGAAAACAGCAGTGATCATTGTCACCACCCTGTGAATTATGGTTTCGATTACTTCTATGGAATGCCCATGACAAATCTGAGAGATTGCATACCAGGTCATGGAAGTGTTTTCTTAGCTGGAGCAGCCAAATTCATCAGAACTTTGATTCAAATTGGATGCATAACCCTCGTTACAGCTACACTGTTAAATTATAGTGGAATAATTAAGATAAACTGGAAGGTCGTTAGTTATATTTTGATATTTTTTGGATTTCTTTTTGGATTGGTGTTTTTGTTTTTTTGGAATTTCCGTTACTTGAATTGTTTTTTAATGAGAAATCATCAGATTATTCAGCAACCTTTTAAACATGAAAATCTTACTCAAAGAATGACAAAAGAGTCAGTTGATTTTATAAGAAGGTATGTATTTTAAATATCTCTTATGATGTGTGTGTGTGTATGTCTCAAACATGCAAAATAGTGGGCCTCACTGTTGTTAAAGCATTGGCAGTTTTCAATAATGTCCCTGGGTTTCTTTTTTAATTTATTAGTATATTGCAATAATAAACTCTCATTTAGCTGTGACAATTTTTGCACTGGAAGACCAGAGGTGGTAACTTCCAACAGTATACATTGAAAAAGGTAACCTCACAACGTCGCACTGCTAAAATTTCTCCCAATGTTGAATTAACTTTGTATTAGTAAACATGTCATATACAGAACAAACTGAGCAAGGATGCCAGTAACTGAAATATAGAACCTTTCCTCTGACCCTTGCAATGAACGAAGTACTCGATGCCAAAAAGAGACACATGTATCATTTTTATTTCACTTGGATAACCACCAGTATGTTGGAAATATGGAAGTAGTTGGATAGTGCCTAGAAGTAAAGTTTAGCCAGTATAGTACCTCATACCTCCCAACACTGAGAGGTATACAGATTTGAACAGGTGGGCAGGCCGTGAGGGTGGCATTGTCAGTGTTATGACTATCCATAATTGGTGGGCCTTCTCAGAAAGGGCGTGGGCCCATTTATTGAAGGGGCATATAGGTCTGTCATCTAGCACACCAGAATGACTGACCATTTGTCTGACCGGCTCCCCCTCTTGCAGAACCATGCGGAGAGCAGAGTTGTAGCATATCCTTAGGGACTGCAGCTTAACCAAGTGTTTACTGCTTGTAATTAGGATTCCTTTCTCGGAGAATGCAGCAAGCAGGATGTACCAATGACAGTCATAATTCCCAAATAAATAAGGCAAAAGGTAAAATATATTATCTTGGTAGTCCGAAATGTAGTACTGAAAGCACTTCTATAAAAACTGGCTGGTATTATCTGCATTCTTATAAGTCTAAAGGCACCAAGGTAGTTTAACCCCTTAAGGCCACATGACATGTGTGACATGTCATGATTCCCTTTTATTCCAGAAGTTTGGTCCTTAAGGGGTTAAACAAATAAATAATTTGAGCTATAACAGAGAAGAAGCTCACAACAAGGAACATTCTCCAATAACAGATGAGTCTATAGACAGATAGGAACTGGGAGAAGTTGGAGTAAGACATGTGGACATAGTAGCTTCTAACCAGACTTAACATGCTTTAAAACATTCATGATGTTAGATTTTATTTTAAACCACAGAATCATATGTTATATCAAGCAGTATTTTTCATTCTCTGTGGTGCCCCCAGCAAACTAGGATGAATGAAAAGTAAGAAGCCATCAGTTCTTTTGTTTTGTTTGTTTGTTTATTCTGCAGTCAAAAGATGTAGAAGATTGGACTGTGAGTATACTTGCAAGAACTGATAATTTCTATTAGAAACCAACGAGAAGATGAGTATCCTTATTTTCCGTATTGCAAATAAAACAGCGGTGACAGAGTATCAGCTTTAGTGCTGCAGGTTCCAGAGTGGTTGGAAAACATAATATTGGATTAAGACAGGAATAAAGCTGAATAAGCCTGGTGGGGGCTGGTGAGTTCTGTCGCTCTCAGATGTCTTCATTATTTGAGAGCTTGGACAATAACCAGCACTTTTTTCCAATATCTTAGTTTTCCAGTGACTCACTATACATATACAGTTCCCAATGGAAAAAAAAACAACCCATGACATACTGTTAGTGGATTATGTCTTTGAGACAGATGCCCACACCACATGTAGAGGCATTGATGTCTAGAATGAACAGGACTAGGGTGTTGAGGTGTTAAACAGATAAAAGACTTCTGGTGCTTGTGGAGATAAATGATATATATCTTCTAATTTTTGGACATGGTGTAGATGAGTTGCTAAAAACAAAGGGAAAATAACTTTAATAAACATACAATTATAATTAAAATAAATAAATAAGAAACTCAATAGGGAGTGACCAATAAAAGGTAAAAAAAAATGGACCGTTTATAGAAATCAATGGGAAGAACTGCAATGAAAGCAATATAGCCCAGATACTGAGCTTTACCAATTTACAGTACAAACTGTAAAGTACAATCTGTACAAAAACATACAATACAAACCGTATCAGCTTTTGTAAAACAAATCATACTTGCAATACATTCAAAATAAATTTGAATAATGAATTAATATGTATTTTAGATATATGATAAGACTGTGGGCACTCTTGGAGTATTCCACATTCCAGTGAGTATGATAATATATTCATAGTGCCCACTACATGTATTACCTGTCAACTTGGACACTTTTTGCTAGGTTTTTAGCCCTTCTATGATGAATTTTAGTCAAAATAGAAGAACGATTCCATTGTGCATGGCTTTCAGCTACTCCATACTACTAAAGAGTTGAAATGTTAACAATAGGTCCTTTCATAGCAACTGTAGATGATATACAGTTCATATAACTGAAAACAAGGTGTTAAGAACTTTCTTCAACACAAGCCTCAGTAGTGATTATAAGACATTATAGTTCATTAATTAAACCTTTCATAGTGACAGAAGAGGGCTGGCAAAGGGGGCATTGCCCCAGGGTCACTATCACAATTTATCTTTTGATTAAAATTAGTAGGATGTCTCTTGGCAGAGTACTGCAGGGGGAAGCAGTTGGCAGGAATTGTGCATTGCCTCGCTAGTCCAGAACTCTTTTTGAACTTGTGCATAGGCTGATGTCTCAGAATCTTAGTGGTCTACAGATATAAACTGGTTCATTGAGATATTTCTTGGGGGATTGCAGTGTTTGAAGCTTAGCAGGCTGCCGACTAGGATAATTATGTATCATGTGGATACATTTGTTTGTGTTAGCACGGTGAGATGAGAACGTTATATCAATGGTGTCTCAGAAAACAGACCCAATCACAAAGGTATGGATTCATTTCTGTGAATAGTTCCATCATGCTGTGCAGGTAATACTGATGGTGATCAAGCCCATATTTGTTTGTTTAGTCTGAATAGGACCATCTACAAATAGATCAGAGAATTTTGTGTACAAGAATATTCCATAAATTTGGACTTGACCCCCAAGCCAAAGGTGTTTAGAGCTTCTCTAAATTGTATGAGATATATCAGCTTTCTTTTACAATTTACAAAACCTTTCTAAGGTTGAAAAACTCAGCAATGTTAGCAGAAATGCATGATGCAGCATGTAACTATTTTAAATATGTTGTTTTTATCTAATTTTATTATATTTAGAGTATATAAATTGTCTTGTATTCTACAGGCCAGAGTATTATTTGCCTGTGATAAAGACTGCCACTATAATTTATCATGGTAAAACTGTAATTTCTTTTATCAGTGCCAAATTATAGTTAACAAATCCTATATTTTCTATTAAGTGTCCACTGTATTGTGCTAAACTAACCAAACTGTTTATACTCTGGATACAAATGTGATTAATGTAGTTAAATAAATGCGGTTCATATTTTGTGAAAAAGCCCTCTGCTTTATTTATATTAACTTTTGAAATAGTTCACTCTTTGGATTTATCAATGCAATTTACTTTCTAGAGCAAACAGTTTAGTTTTTCATTATCATTTAAGTTAGCAAAACAAATAAGCAGGGTGATATATAGAGACATCAATCTGTAAAACTCTGATGAAAATTCACACAGCTCAATGGCCAGTGGAATTAAATGAGCAATTTTCTTTGCCCATCAATTATAAATAGATTTATTTTTTGTTTTGTTTTTTTCACAGAGAAAAAAAAATCAATACACATTATTTTAGTGCTTTCTAGGCTGTATGTTGTACATATTTGCACAAAAAAGTTAAAATATCATAGACTACAGAAAAATTATGTAATCTAAGTACCGGATAATATGATGATTGACAGGTTAGTTATGGGTTACAGGGTCTATAATTACCCAAGCATGTTATTTCCATTAATGTACTCACTAGGAATTTTACAATAATATAAAATGTGAATGGATAGTAATTAATGTACTTTAAAATTTAATGCACTTATTGCTTAAGTCTTCTTAATAAATGGCCTAATTCAGACACTTCGAAATCTGTAAAGGTCAAGAAGTGCCATTTTTAACCTTTAGAATTAAAAAAGCTTGTAGCATTTATTTGCTTATTTTAAAAGATACTTTTTTTTCCAAAGTCAAAGGGCTTTGCATAGTTATGAGAGACCATTAAATCTCATTGGCTATGGACAAAGTTATGAACCATCAGTTTTTATTAAGTCAAGGAATTAAAATAATGACATGTTTTGACATAGAGCATATAAATCAAATTATCATTCTTATGATGGAAAACAGTAATGAGTTACAAATCAGAATAACATTATTATGAATCTGAAGAAGACATTTGAGTTATTTGCATTGCCATTTGAACAGTTGGATTGCTTTAACTTGAAGAATCAGTCTTTTTAAAATGTGACCATACATATTTTGAAAATGCTTTGCTAGTAAAATATATTATAACAGTAAACTGTTACATATCTTTTAAAGTTTCACAATGAACATTGCCTGCAACTGCTCCTACAAGTATATAACTAACAGTAGGAAGAAACACTGTTACACTGGGGTACAAAGCCCAGGACTCTAGGTGGGCGACTCCAATCTAACATGGTGCCAGGGTCTCTGGGAGATTTAATCCACTTCTCTTACTCCAGCATGAGACTCTCCAATTAGGAGCAACTACTTTTAAACTATGGGCCTGATCTTTCCCTATAATTGCTCAGGAGCCTCTAACATCCATTACTCAGTGATATAAATCCCCATTGACAGCAATGCAGTGTGAGCAGGATTAAATACCAGGAAATCCAGTTATCAATAGATACTTGGGGCTCCCTTCTGTCATCTGGGGCCATTTTGGTGACCCCAGACTTTTAGATGAGCAGTGCATATAGCCCTTTACATCTGTAGAGAACACTGTGACTGAGTGATCAAGCTCCGCCACAGTGATTCTCTCACTGGATCGAGTAATTAAGAGATCCCTAAGGGTCTGAACAGACCTTGGAGGGTCTCCTTCTATGCCCCAATGGCATTTTGATTAGTGCTGGGCTTTGTCAGTTGCTGACATTGCAATGCATTGGGCACACTGTATTCAATGTAAAGGATATGAAGCTTTCCTACTGAAAATTGCCAGTAGATGGAAACATACCATTTTGTTTTAGCCTAGATATCCCATTACTTATATTCATACTCATATTAGCAGAGAGAAACCTTTGGAATTAGCATTAAATTAAGATTATGGTGTGACAGACCCATCTGTATGGACTAAAAGTACTGTGTTCGTCTGTTTTGCCATTTGCATGAATTCCCCATTCGTATGCTTTGTTTAAGGGAATGTCTTTTTTTTGTCGAACAAAACTACCGAACGGACGGCCACCCAGAAGAGAAGTGTGCTGCTGGTTAACCTATTGATCCCAATTAGAACGTTGCGGTTAACCACAGACACTTCTCAATTAAAACCGAATACCGGGTGGTCGTCATTCGTATGTCGACCACGAGGCGGCGGCCATTTTAAACTAATGCGAAAGACCAGCGGTGTTCGGTTATTTCATGGAACTGAAAACGGACACTTTTTCAACCGAACACCGCTGAAGCCGTCGACCTACCCTTCACAATGGACAAAAGCATACGAATGCCGGCCGTTCGGGAGCTTCAACAACACGAATGGACTTAACCCAGAAAGCCTTCCCATGGAGTCAATCGCATACCGAAGAACTGTAATAAACTTTGACTCCATAGCGATTGAACTATGCGAATGGGATCTGAGCGCTATTCGCCAATAATATGCACTCAGATCCAGGCTATCTGGGGATGTGTTACACGAATGCAATATGTTCGGCAATTAGAAAGTTATATATTTTAATGTGTTTTATAACTTTGAGTTAAAATGGCGATTTGCCTCTGCTCGGGGAGATAATTGAATTACTTCCCAATTATCTCCCGAGCAGAGGGTAGGGAACTGTTGATGCATGCTGGGAATATTGTGGGGATGTATGTCTGAAATGTCCCCATGTCCTTCTGTCATTTCAGTCTCCCATTTGTTCCCCTAGGGGAGTGTCCACCAAGTGGGAGACCTGCATAAATACCGGGCAGGTAGCCCACAGTAAATCAGTTCATGTTTTACCCTCAAAGCGGACCTTGGTCTCGTTATTGGGGGGATTTTATTACCGGGGCCTAGAGACTGCTTATTGGAATTATTTGCCGCTTGGAAGATATTGGCGTTCGGCTAATATTGTCAGTTTGTGGATTTGGAGTTTGTGAAGGGAAAGAGCCATACAGTTACCGTTCGGGAGTTTGGAGTGTTCCCTAGCTGGCGGTTCGCATGGTTATACTGTACACGCTACCAGACCCCATTATTGCGAACGGGGAGCATTCACTAAACGGCGGTTTGCACATTTATTACTGGAGGTACCGTAACATATGGATTACGATTAGGTTTAGAATAAATATTAGGTTTATATTTTAGGATTGGTATTAGAGTTCAGATTAGGGTTTTGATTAGCATAAGGGTCAGAAAAGGAATCCCTCTGCTGATATTCCTCTGCTAACATCAGCAGAGTAAATATTACTAACACTATTTATAGGGTTAGAAACATAGAAACATAGAATGTGACGACAGATAAGATCCATTCGGCCCATCTAGTCTGCCCAATTTTCTAAATACTTTCACTAGTCCCTAGCCTTATCTTATAGTTAGGATAGCCTTTTGCCTATCCCATGCATGCTTAAACTCCTTTACTGTGTTAATCTCTACCACTTCAGCTGGAAGGCTATTCCATGCATCCACTACCCTCTCAGTAAAGTAATACTTCCTGATATTATTTTTAAACCTTTGTCCCTCTAATTTAAGACTATGTCCTCTTGTTGTGGTAGTTTTTCTTCTTTTAAATATAGTCTCCTCCTTTACTGTGTTGATTCCCTTTATATATTTAAATGTTTCTATCATATCCCCCCTGTCTCGTCTTTCCTCCAAGCTATACATGTTAAGATCCTTTAACCTTTCCTGGTAAGTTTTATCCCGCAATCCATGAACCAGTTTAGTAGCTCTTCTCTGAACCCTCTCTAAGGTATCAATATCCTTCTGAAGATACGGTCTCCAGTACTGTGTACAATACTCCAAGTGAGGTCTCACCAGTGTTCTGTACAATGGCATGAGCACTTCCCTCTTTCTACTGCTAATACCTCTCCCTATACAACCAAGCATTCTGCTAGCATTTCCTGCTGCTCTATTACATTGTCTGCCTACCTTTAAGTCATTGGAAATAATCACCCATAAATCCCTTTCCTCAATTGTTGAGTTTAGAACTCTTGGGTTTTTACGTCCAAGATGCATTATCTTGCACTTATCCACATTAAATGTCAGTTGCCACAATTCTGACAATTTTTCTACTTTACCTAAATCATTTGCCATTTGGCTTATCCCTCCTGGAACATCAACCCTGTTACATATCTTAGTATCATCAGCAAAAAGACATACCTTACCATCAAGACCTTCTGCAATATCACTAATAAAAATATTAAAGAGAATGGGTCCAAGTACAGATCCCTGAGGTACCCCACTGGTGACAAGTCCAAGCTTCGAATATATTCCATTAACTACAACCCTCTGTTGCCTGTCACTCAGCCACTGCCTTACCCATTCAACAATATTGGAATCCAAACTTAAAGATTGCAGTTTATTGATAAGCCTTCTATGTGCAACAGTGTCAAAAGCCTTACTGAAATCTAGGTAAGCAATGTCTACTGCACCACCCTGATCTATAATTTTAGTTACCCAATCAAAAAAATCAATAAGATTAGTTTGGCATGATCTCCCTGAAGTAAATCCATGTTGTCTCTGATCTTGAAATCCATGTGTTTTAGATGTTCAACAATCCTATCCTTTAACATGGTTTCCATCACTTTCCCCACTACTGAAGTAAGGCTTACTGGCCTATAGTTGCCAGACTCCTCCCTATTACCTTTCTTGTAAATGGGCACAACATTCGCTAACTTCCAATCTTCGGGGACTACTCCTGTTAATGATTGGTTAAATAAATCTGTTAATGGTTTTGCTAGTACACCACTACGCTCTTTTAATAGTTTTGGGTGTATTCCATCAGGTCTCATTGACTTATTTGTCTTTACTTTTGACAGTTGAAATAGAACCTCTTTCTCTGTAAACTCACGTGTAATAAATGACTCATTTATCTTTTTTCTCAACTGAGGTCCTTTTCCTTCATTTTCATCTGTAAATACAGAACAAAAATATTCATTGAGGCAGTCAGCTAGACCTTTATCCTCTTCTACATACCTTCCTTCTTTTGTTTTTAATTCAACTAATCCTTGTTTTACTATGTATCTAAAACATGTTTTGTCCCCCTTTTTTACTGACTGTGCTATTTTCTCTTCTGTGTGTGATTTGGAAGCTCTTATGACTTGCTTAGCCTCTTTCTGCCTAATCTTATAGATCATTTTGTCTTCCTCACTCTGAGTTTTTTTATAATTCCTAAATGCTAACTTTTTGTTTTTAACTATTTTGGCCACATCTGCGGAGTACCACAGTGGTTTCTTGAATTTTTTGCTTTCACTGACAAGCCTAATGCAATTTTCAGTTGCCTTCAATAGTGCAACTTTTAAATAATACCATTTCTCTTGGACTCCATTTAAATTGCTCCAGTCTGATAATGACTCCTCTACACATATTCTAATTTTAGAAAAATCTGTTTTTCTAAAGTCTAAAACTTTTGTTTTTGTGTGGTGTGACTCAGTCACTGTTCTTATATTAAACCACACTGACTGATGATCACTGGATCCTAAACTTTCACCTTTAGGAATGAGATTAGGATTAATGTTATAACTAGGATTATATTTAGGATTAAGATGTGGTTTAGAATTAGGGTTTGCTCAAGGATTAAAGATTTATACTGGGATTAAGATTGTTACTTTGGAAAGGTATACAAATGTGGCATTGTTGTACTCAGCAGATGTTGCTGAGTACAGTTAAGATAATTGTATTACAGTGGGGCACATGATATTTAAATAATAAGCAGAAAAATATGTGTATGTATGAATAAAATTTCAATAAAAATGCTATCCCAAACTTGGAAAAAAGTAATGAAAAACTGACACCTCAAAAAAACTCAAAATATATCATGTGAAAATCGCTGACAATGCACTTACTGACAGCTGTGAAGTCCCTAGTCCCTGGCCTCTGGAAGCAGCCTGGTGTGCCAACCTTTCAGCATTGGGTGACCAAAGCTGAGGAGATACACGCCATGGTATATCATGTAATGTGACAACCATTATGGTACTCAACATGTTCAGACAACATTTTCTCTGATGTCAGCTCTGATGAATTACATTATCTTCTAGCCTTACAATTGCTTTTGCTAGTCTGTTTTGTTTTGTTTTTTGTCTACAATTATGCCAGATTATCATCTTTTTTTTGTTTAGCACACGCCACAAGTCATGTTTTAACGTAGCATCTTTTTAGAAGAACTTTAGCAGGGTAATGAAACAACATAATAGAAAAAAAAAGACAATCAAACTGTCACTGTTGAAATCAGAGGAAAAGGAAGTGACAAAAAAAATGATGGCCTCAATTTAATCTTTTTGGATATGAGTTGTTTTTGGATAAACTTTTAAAATAATTTAATATTTTGCAAATTTTGATATATTGATGTTTTTATTGATATGTTTAAAAAAATAATTTTAAAAGTTTCATCAAAAATATTTGATTACTTGAAAAGTTTATCCAAATAGATTAAATTAATGGGTGGTTTTGATGACCAACACAGTCTACAGTTAGGCCCGGAAATATTTGGACACCGACACAATTTTCAGAACTTTGGATCTGGATGCCACCACAATAGGTTTGCAAGTGCAGACTTTCAGCCTTAATTAAAGAGGTTGAACAAAAATATTGTATGAAACATTTAGGAATTGCAACAATTTTCATACACAGTCCCCTTGTTTCAGGAGCTCTCATGTAATTAACAAAATCATAAATAAAATATAAATTTTTGATATTTTGTTGAGAATCCTTTGCAGGCAATGACTGGTTAAAGTCTGGAATTCATGGACATCACTAAACACTGGGTTTCCTCCTTTGTGTTGTTTTACAGGCCTTTACTGCAGCTATATTTAATTGTTTTGTTGTTTGTGGGTCTTTCTGCCTTATGTTTTGTCTTTAGCCAGTGAAAAACATGCTTGATCGGGTTGAGATCAGGTGATTGATCTGCCATTGCAGAATATTACACTGCCTTAATAAACTCCTGGGTTGCTTTCACAGTGTGTTTTGGGTCATTGTCCATCTGTAAAGTGTAGCGCCATCATATCAACTTTGCTAAATCTGAATATATAATATATCCTTATACACTTCTGAATTCATCCAGCTGCTTCTGTCTTGTATTGCAACAACAATGAACACTAGTTACTCAGTACCAGTGGAAGCCATGCTTGCCCATGCCATCACACTGCCTCCACAGTGTTTTACAGATGATGTGGTATGCTTTGGATCATGAGCTGTTCCACACCTTCTTTATACTTTTTTCTTCCCATCATTGTTGTACAGGTTGATTTTAGTTTCATCTGTGCAAAGAATAGTGTTCTGGAACTGGGCTGGCTTTTTTAGATGTTTTTGGCAAAGTCTAATCTGGCTTTTCTATTCTTGAGGCTTATGAATGGTTTGCAACTTGTGGTTAACGCTCTGTATTTGCTCTTGTGACATCTTTGATTTATAGGAGACTTGGATAATGATATGCCTACCTCCTGGCAAGTGTTCTTCACTTGGCTGGATATTGTGAACGGATTTACTTTACCATGGAAAGAATTCTACGATCATCCACCTCTGTTGTTTTATGTGACTTCTTGGCCTTTTTGAGTTGCAGATCTTACCCAGGGGCGGGCTGGGCCGGGGGGCAGGGAGGCAATTGCCCCCCAGGTCACCCCTGGTTAGATCCGGTCACGCCGTAAGGGCGCCCGCCTGAATACCATTTTCCGTTGTTCAGACATTAACTGTCGGGACCAGCAGGCATCAGTGCACCCTCCTGTCAGTCCGCCGGAGCCACAGGTTACCAGAAACCCGTCCACGCTGGAGTTTCCTGTTTTCCGTAATCGTCGGATTATATAGCACACCAGAGTGCGCACCTCCCATCAGTCCCGGCCACCTGACCGGGCCAACGTACAGGAGGAGGAGAGAGGGGTGGAAGCGCAATATGAGGGGAGCAAGTGGCTGGGAGAGGGGGAGGCGAAGGGGAGAGGGGGGAAAGGAAGGGAGGGGGAGGCGAAGGGAGGGGGGCGGAAGGGAGGGGGGAGGCGGAAGGCAGGGGGGGAGGCGAAGGGAGGGGGGAGGCGAAGGAAGGGGAGGCAGAAGGAAGTAAAGGGCAAGGGGAGGGGGAGAAGTAAGTGAAGGGGAGGTTGTAAAGGGGAAAGCAAGGGAGTGGAGAAGCAAGGAAGGGAGGAGGAAATAGTGAAGGGGAGTGGGGGAGCAAGGAAGGGGAGAAGCAAGAAGGGGAGGGGGAGTAAAATGAAAGGGGGGGAGAAGTAAGGAAGAGGGGGAAGCAAGTGAGAGGGGACGGTTGGGGGGGAGAAAGAAGGAGGGGGGGGAGAAGGAGTGGGAAAGGGTGAAGATGGGGGATGTAAATGAAAGAGGGGGGAGTAAGTGAAGAGGGGGGTGTAAGTGAAGGAGGGGGGAGAGAAGGAGGAGAAGGGGGAGTAAGAAAGAGGAGGAGGGGGAGTAAGAAGAAGAAGGGGGTATGAAAAACGGGGGGTAAGAAGAACAAGGGGGGAGTAAGAAGAACACAAGGAGGAGGGGGGAGAGTAAGAGGGAGGAGAAGGGGAGATGAGGAGAAGGGGGGGACTGAGAAGAACACAGGGAGGGTGGGTGGTGAGGAGGACACAGGGAGGAGAGGACACTACGCGTACACACACACACAATGCATCCCTATACATACACAGAAACACACAATGCATCCCTACACACACACAGAAACACAACATACTTCCCTTACACACAGAGAAACACAACATGCATCCATTACACACACACAATGCAACACTTACACACAAAGACAATGTATCCTTTGCACACATACACAGAAACACATAATGCAAACCCTTACACACACTGCTTTTCTTACATACACACAGAAACACAATGCATCACTAACACACACTCAGTGCACACACTTACAGACACACACCTTGCATCCCTTATGCATACAAACACAGATTCACACAATGCATCCCTTACACACAACCAGAAACACACAATACATCCCTTATACACAAATACACACTGCTTCCACTACACACAAACACACTGCATCACCTGCACAAACTGGTATCCCTATACACTACATACCATAAGCACACATATTAGATCCTCTACAATAACACATAACACATCCCCTACACACTCCACTCCCTGTGAGCGAACTCATGGGTGGGTGGAACATATAAGTGGACTTATGAGCCTTTGTGGGCATACTCACCGTCAGGCCCTGGGGCCCAGAACTTGAGCTGTGTAAGGGGCCCCCAAAAATGGAGCTGCTTCCAATTCTCCCAGAACATTGAATTTTGTGACCACAGTTGCAAACAGCCTCCAGAGATCCTGTTCTACACCAGACCAGTGGAGCCAAACTGCAGTCCATCATCATCCTCATCTGGTTGTAAGTAGGCAATCTAGTATATTATTAGTGACACTAATCTATAATTTACCTCACATTAAAGGGACACTATAGTCCCCAGAACAACTGGAGCTTAATGAAGTGGTTCTGGTGTCTATAGCCGGCCCCTGCAGGCCTTTTAATGTAAACACACACTGTGGGCAGCACTGGCGTTCGTATGGCAGCTCATATAGGTGGGGCATTGTGATGTCACATGGGGGGCGGCAAATACAGCTGTTCCCCATGCTGCCACAGGTGCCACTGTACTGTGAGATTGTGATTACTCTTCACTTCCTCCCAGCTTACAGAGCAGCGCATGGGAGAGAGAGAGGAGGAGGCATGATTTAATCTTACAACAAATCCAGTAAGCAAATCTTTATAAATTTGGGTGGGATCAGCTCTGTTTCCACAGTTTATTGGTGTTTACTCTGATGTCTGTATTAATATTGAGGGATTTCTAAGTAGTAACATTAGTGTGTGTCAACAGGGCCAGCCGTTGGGGTGTGCACGCTGTGCGGTCACGCAGGGTGCCATCACAACAGAGGCGCCCAGCGGACAATACAGCTCACAAGTTGGGGACACCAGCCTATTCAATTTAAACGATTCGCTGGTGGTCCACTGGTGCGCACCAGCAGTAGGTGCAGTCAGATTATAGCCTCTCCCTTGTGGTTCCGGCGCTCAGTTAGTGAGTCAGAGCACAGGCTCAGAGATTCTCAGCCTGCGCTCTGACAACATTGAAAGTCAGAGCCGTGAAGGAGCGGATATGGCAAAGAGCTACTGATTAGCTGGGCACCATTGCACTGATTTGGTGGTGCAATGGGCCACTTGACTGGTTTTGCCCCCCAGGCCTAAGGCTGCCAGCCCTCCCCTGATCTTACCGGTGCATTTTTTTTTTCTCAGAATGTACAAAACTGTTAATTTGGCTACTCCGATTATTCCTGCTATCTCTAGGATAGATTTTTTTTTGCATCCTAAGGATTGCCTGTTTCACTTGCATTGAGAGCTCCTTTAACTGCATGTTGTTGGTTCAAAGCAGCAACTCCAAATGCAAGTTCCACATCTAGAATCAACTCCAGACCTTTTACCTGCATAATTGATGAATAAATAATGAAGGGAGAGCTCACAACTGTTCATGAAACATCTTTTGAGTCAATTGTCCAATTACACATTAATGAGCTGTAATTCCTAAACCTTTCTTCCAATTTCAATGTGAATGTGCTCAGATTAAAGCAGAGAGATGGCACTTTAAGCCCATATTCTTTATTTAACTGTAACTTCAATGTATTTTGGTAAACAGCAGAAATAACAAAACTTGTGTTTGTGTCCAATTTTTTTCAGACCTTACTGTATGCATTTAAATATTTGTTTAAGTATATTTATTTGAACAATTAGGTTGTATGTATTAATTTATATGACTTGTCAATGGTGCATTTTTAAACAGTTTAGCATATTTCCTTATTTAGATTTTTCTTTTTGTATAACCTTTCTTTGTTTTAAATCCATTGTTATTGAATATTATTCTACAACATGTCTTTCCGTAGCTCTGGTGTACATTTAGATGTGGTGTAAGTCACATAGTTTGTAAGGAAATGGCAATGATGCATGGCTAAATGTTCCTAACTTCTGCTATTTTGCGATTACTTCTAGATTTTAATCAGACCCTGAATGTTTCTAATTATTTAACAAAGTAAACATTCTCAGAGTATCATCATTCCTGAAGTTTTTATCTTGTTTGTGTCTTATTTTCCGAGACACAATATTGCCAAACATAAGTGACCTTCTTTAACAAGCTTTCTATTTGGCTTGAAGTTAGGTTTTGCATATCTAATTATTGGGGGGGAAAAAGTCATTAAAGGAAAATTGAGTTGCTTGGAAATTGATGCTAATTCCCATAATTTACTTGGCAGTAAGCTAATATTTTAGGGGAAAAAATTATAAATGTAACTGCCATAACCTATACATAACTAATACTGACATTTTATTGAGTATAGCGTTTTGATTTGAATGTCCATTGCTAGTGAAAATATTAGTGTAATAATTAAAAATAAAAATTATATATTTTAATGTGAGAACAAAAATTTGTTATGTGATATAGGGTCAAAATTCCTATATAGAATGTAAAGAATCCATTGGTGTCTTTTTAAGAGTCTTGGTGTACTTTGTTATGGTAAATTGTGGATTCTGAAACAGTGCGCAGAGTATACTGGAAGATATTTAGCAAATTCTGACTAACAAAAAAAATCAGCTATCTAAATATTACTTTGGCAAGCAATGATTACAATTGGACCAAAAAAATGGCCATTAGTCTTAACTTGTCATATTTCAGCTGTCCTAAACAAACAGTCTTTTTCTCGGAATCAATTGGCATATGGTTATCTCATCAGGTTTAAGGTGTCTATTAAACCATTATACCCATTCCTTACAAATTTTAGGTTTCAACCAGAAAATAGTTTTCAAAGTTCTACCAGAGTTCGCTTTAAAACATAATTAAAAATTGAATCAGTTCAACAAAATGTTTCTCCTGTGTCTAGTACTATTCTACATCATACTTTAAACAATGATATTACAAAATTCTGTAGTTTTTATCTAGACCCAGTTTGGCTTAAGTTGAGTCCCATTAAAATCATCTGAGATTTAGTCTGACATGTACAACTGATTGGCAAATTGCCAGTTGACTTACCGTGTTTCCCCGAAAATAAACCCTACCCCGAAAATAAGCCCTAGTCGGATTTTCGGGGTGGGCTGCAATATAAGCCCTACCCCGAAAATAAGACCTAGGCATTGTACCTTTGCGGCAAGACTTCCTTCTTCTACTGTAGGAGGAGCGTTGTGGGCCGCGTCATCGCGCAACGTGATGACGACATTTCGCAGCGCCGTCAGTCTGCCTTCACGGATCTTCAGCGGAAGGATCCATTTCCGGGCGGTGAGGCTCCCAGTGGTCGGACTCGGCAAGGAATCTTTGAAATGTGAGTACCGCTAGATATTTTATGTCTGGGACTGAATTAATTAAAGGGGGGGTGAATTAATTAAAGGGTGGGCTGGATTAATTAGAGGGGGGTGAATTAATTAAAGGGGTGGTGAATTAATTAAAGGGTGGGCTGGATTAATTAGAGGAGGGTGAATTAATTAAAGGGGGGTGAATTAATTAAAGGGTGGGCTGGATTAATTAGAGGGGGTGAATTAATTAAAGGGGTGGTGAATTAATTAAAGGGTGGACTGGATTAATTAGAGGGGGTGAATTAATTAAAGGGTGGGCTGGATTAATTAGAGGGGGTGGATTAATTAGAGGGGGGTGGATTTATTAAAGGGGGGGTGGATTAATTAAAGGGGGGGTTCAACGTACATACCGGTACCGTAAATAAGCCCTACCCTGAAAATAAGCCCTAGTGTGTTTTTTGTGACTAAAATTAATATAAGACCCGGTCTTATTTTCGGAGAAACACGGTAACAACCTATTTCTACATTAGCAGAACTCTCCACAGTTTTACCAATGGACTACTTGTTCTTTGATATAGTGAGTTGGAAACCATATTTTAACGTCTGTGCTTATATTTTGTATGAATCATCACTAACATTTTTTAAGAACAACTATTAAGTGGATACTGTAGGCACTAGAAACCTTTAATCTCATTGAAGTGGTGATGGTGCCCGGAGTCTCCCAACATCATCCCTCCATTCGGTGGTAAAACTTTTTTGTATGGTCTAACACTGACCACCCACAATGCAGACTTTACTGAACATATGGCTAAGGCAGAGGTTACACTGAGATGAAGTGGTTTCAGTGCCTAGAGTGTCCCATTTAAAAAAAATAAAATAAAAGTATGACTGGCTTAGACGTATGTTCTCTATCATTTAATGTTGTATTTCAATACTTTATTTGTTTTTTTTTAATAACCTAATTACTAATTTAATCATTTTGCAGGAACAAATATAAACCATTCCTCCTATTTGTGTCCTTTGCTCAAGTCCATACAGCTCTCTACACTGAACAGAGATTTAGAGGAAAAAGCAAACATGGTCTGTATGGAGATGCAATTGAAGAAGTAGATTGGAGTGTAGGTAAGATATAATATTTGTGATGGTAAACTAAAATACTAAAAAAATCTTGTGCTATTATACCAATACATATACAGATGTGATTAAATGTTCAACATACATAAAAAAATCATACTCTAAATTTAAACACAGTTACAATTTTATTAATGCAGTGATTATTGTACAATACTATTATAATTTAATTAAATATATAGACAATGGGGGCCATGAGACACAGAAATATAAAATATCAAATATGATTTTTATGTTTTTTTATCATTATTTTTTACACTTTGTCTATATTGACCTTAAATGAATGAATGAAACTCCGATCCTATTCATGCTGTGGCTGCATCTTGCAGCCCCTTAGTAGATAACTCCCTAATTCCCATGGTATCAGGGAGTTAGCTACTAAAAGGCTGAAAGACCTAAATTGGTCTTTCAGCCACATTTACTAATACTAAGTAAAAATTACTTAGTATTAGTAAATGCTGCCCCTACTCGCGATACCGTGAGTAGGGGCATGTCTAGTAAACAGTGAGCAGCTTGTGGCTGCTCACTGTAAAAACCTATTGGCCCCCACCCCTAAATGACGGGTGGGGGCCCTAAAGTAAAATTAGGGGAGAGACCTATTGTCCCCCCCTGTGTGGTGGGTGGGGGCCATAATGATAATGGGGGGGACCTACTTTCCTCCCCCCAGGTCACCACCCCTGGGCAGCAGGTGGGGGCCATAATAATAATGAGGGGAGGGGGCCCTAGTGTCCTCCCCCAGCCCCCACCCCTGCGTGGTGGATGGGGGCCATAATGATAATGGGGGGGACCTACTGTCCTCCCCCCCTGGCCCCCACCCCTGGGTGGCGGGTGGGGGCCATAATGATAATGGGGGGGACCTACTGTCCTCCCCCCCCCGGCCCCCACCCCTGGGCGGCGGGTGGGGGCTAAATGATAATGAGGGGGGAGACCTACTGTCCTCCCACCCGGCCCCCACCCCTGGGCTTGAAATCCATCCAATCACAGTGCTCTGTGTCATTTTACACAGCGTGGGAAAGTTCTTTGGAACGCTGTGTAAAATGACAAAGAGCACTCTGATTGGCTTAAACCCACCAATCAGAGTGTTCTTAGCCTAATTGCCGGGCGGGGCAAGGCTTTATAAGCCTTCCACCGCCCTGCGGAGCTCAGTCTGCACGGAGCTCTCCATGGGTGAAGATGGATTATTTTTTTGCGCTCTGGTTTTTTATTTTATTTTAAGTTCGATGGGTATGATGGTTTTTTTATGTGGCCTTTTTTGTGGCTGAAAAATGAAGATTTTAGAAAAAAGGAAAAAAGAAGACGTTGAATGGTAAGTTTAATTTTACCTTACAGGTTAGTAATTTTATTCCCCCCTTACTATTTTTTAGGGTGAGGGGGGTAGGTAGGGGACTTTTTATTTGCGTGGGGGGGGGTGACTGGGGGCTTGGGGACCCCTAGTCACCTTTGATGGGGGGGGAATTTGACTTAGGGCCCCCACCCGCCGCCTAGAAACATAGAAACATAGAAACATAGAAACATAGAATGTGACGGCAGATAAGAACCATTCGGCCCATCTAGTCTGCCCAATTTTCTAAATACTTTCATTAGTCCCTAGCCTTATCTTATAGTTAGATAGCCTTATGCCTATCCCATGCATGCTTAAACTCCTTCACTGTGTTAACCTCTACCACTTCAGCTGGAAGGCTATTCCATGCATCCACTACCCTCTCAGTAAAGTAATACTTCCTGATATTATTTTTAAACCTTTGTCCCTCTAATTTAAGACTATGTCCTCTTGTTGTGGTAGTTTTTCTTCTTTAAATATAGTCTCCTCCTTTACTGTGTTGATTCCCTTTATGTATTTAAATGTTTCTATCATATCCCCCCTGTCTCGTCTTTCCTCCAAGCTATACATGTTAAGATCCTTTTAACCTTTCCTGGTAAGTTTTATCCCGCAATCCATGAACCAGTTTAGTAGCCCTTCTCTGAACTCTCTCTAAGGTATCAATATCTTTCTGAAGATACGGTCTCCAGTACTGTGTACAATACTCCAAGTGAGGTCTCACCAGTGTTCTGTACAATGGCATGAGCACTTCCTTCTTTCTACTGCTAATACCTCTCCCTATACAACCAAGCATTCTGTTAGCATTTCCTGCTGCTCTATTACATTGTCTGCCTACCTTTAAGTCATCAGAAATAATCACCCCCAAATCCCTTTCCTCAGATGTTGAGGTTAGGACTCTATCAAATATTCTGTACTCTGCCCTTGGGTTTTTACGTCCAAGATGCATTATCTTGCACTTATCCACATTAAATGTCAGTTGCCACAATTCTGACCATTTTTCTAGTTTACCTAAATCATTTGTCATTTGGCTTATCCCTCCTGGAACATCAACCCTGTTACATATCTTAGTATCATCAGCAAAAAGACATACCTTACCATCAAGACCTTCTGCAATATCACTAATAAAAATATTAAAGAGAATGGGTCCAAGTACAGATCCCTGAGGTACCCCACTGGTGACAAGTCCAAGCTTCAAATATATTCCATTAACTACAACCCTCTGTTGCCTGTCACTCAGCCACTGCCTTACCCATTCAACAATATTGGAATCCAAACTTAAAGATTGCAGTTTATTGATAAGCCTTCTATGTGCAACAGTGTCAAAAGCCTTACTGAAATCTAGGTAAGCAATGTCTACTGTACCACCCTGATCTATAATTTTAGTTACCCAATCAAAAAAATCAATAAGATTTGTTTGGCATGATCTCCCTGAAGTAAACCCATGTTGTCTCTGATCTTGAAATCCATGTGTTTTTAGAGGTGGGGGCCAGGACAGTAGGCCCCCCCCATTATCATTATGGCCCCCACCCACCGCTCAACGGTGGGGGCCGGGGGGGAGGACAGTAGGTCCCCGTCCCCCCATTTTAATTTATTGCCCCCACTCACCGCTCAGGGGTGGGGGCCAGATAGTAGGGTTTTTTTTTTACAGTGAGCAGCCACTGGCTGCTCACTGTTTAGTAGACATGCCCCTACTCGCGGTATAGCAAGTAGGGGCACTGGGGAAATTTTAATCTCCTTTATGCTATTATGGGGGTCATATTGACCCCCATAGAGTGAGGGAGGACATGGGGGGCTTATGAAGTGGCAGGGAGCACTGCTCCCTGCTGCTTCTATAGTTACATATTACAATGAGGGAGCTGCGCGCTGGTAGCTCCCCTCCTTGTAATAAACTGAACGAACAAACGAACACTGATATTCGGTGTTAGTTTGTTTTTCTGATTTTTCTATTCATATATTCGTCTGTCTGATGAATGGATGAATAGATGAAATTCCCATTCGCATGTCCAAGTATTTCACTGGGCATGTTTGGGAATCTCACAGTCTATCTAGTGTGGGCAGATGACGTCTCCCATAGGGACTTCATCTACCCACACAAAGATGGCGGCGCCCTGAATATAGATCGGGGCAGAAAATAAAGAATAATAAATAGGTAATGTGGGGGGCTTAAGAGCATTTGGGGTGACTAAGGGGTCAATTAGAGATAGTGGAGGCGGGAGGGGGGTTAAAAAAAAAAACAAGATTCGGCATGACAGTGCCGCTTTAAAACCGTCTGGTCCCAGGGAAGTCTTGACTTTTAAAATGTCTATTCTTCTAATGATTTCATTAATCTGTTCAAGTTCCACA